ACTCACAAAAGTCTCTGGATACGAAAAATTTGTAGTTTTTATTCCGTATTTCTTTTTTCTTACCATGTGTGCCTTAAAGAATTTTCTACTTGCGAATGGGTTTCGGTAATTTGAACGAAATTAATTTGTCCCGAACCCCTTCGTAAGTAGACGGACGCTCTTTACCTGAAAATGCATTAATCCGTTCCAAGACCCCACAAAACTCGGACATGATATTTGAATGGGTTAAGCAAACAGTGGCGTAGCCAGGGGGGGGGGGGTATGGAAAGGGGAACCCCCCCTTTTGAAATGTAAAAAAAATCATTTTTCTGTATCATAGATAGCAATTTTCGTAGCTTTAAGTGCTTTTTAGACCCAAGACTAAAAAACACGCGTATTCCAGCGTTTGATCGGACCCGCTAGCTGTTTCGATCTAACTTGTCAAATAAAAATTTCAGAACTCCCCCTTTGAAAATGTCTGGCTACGCCCCTGTAAGCAAAGACCGTGGAAAGTGGGATAATGGAGGCCGGAGGAGGTGAGGGGGGCGTTAAGAGTTGAAATCTAAGAGAGAACGTAATGTACGAAAATGAGCACACGCACATGAAATTCAAAATTGGAATTTACTTTTTTCATTTTGCATTTTTCTTTAGTTTCAACTGTTTAGTTTTAACTGTTCGTAGTATCTTATTGTACGTACGTATCCGCGGGAAACGAACGGGCCAATGGTATGGCAGATAGTTGATTATCGTGTGCCAGGTCAGGTACCACACACTTTAATTTTAATATTGCTCACGACATCATTTGTTGATTTAAAAAACGCAAATGTAATTACGTAGCATCATTATCAAATGAGTGAACCTGATTGTCAAATTACCATCTGTCAATAAATGAGAATTAAGACCGAAGATCTTCTTTTATTTTGCGAGTCGGCGCTGATTTAAATATATATATAATGTCGGCTGTTATAATTTTATTTTTGATTATAAATTAATACCGTCAACCTAAACTGCTTAGACACTACTTAATATTTAAGAGCTATTTTATACGCTCTAAATTGCAAAAAATGAATTTCATGCCGACTGTAATTTGCTGCCGCGTCGCATACGACTGCCGTCGATTACAATGAAAATGAGAGAATTGTAAAATGTTTTCAAAACCAAACGCTGACGACGGCGCTAGGATATGTGCGCGTCATATTCGGTATTCTTACAGAAACGAAAAACGATAATCAAAGTTCGCGATATTCGAATAATAAATTCGAATTTGGCATCCGTGCTTCAAGCACTGCATTGAATTAACCTAAAATAAACAAATATCACTACACGCGTTTTTTGTTTTTGTTTGTGGAAAATCTTACTTCAGTCAATATATTTTCTCGAAAAGAATTCTCGTTGGATTTTTCGTATGTAGAGCCTTTCGTAGGTAGAGTTTCTACTGTGGATGCAAGCACAAAAAGTTGTTTTATTTTGTTATTGTTCGGGGTCCTGGCAGAAATGTTGAGTTAAAACGCAAAAATTTATAAAGAAATTGCTATTTCAATTTATTGTCACACCGACTTTAACCAAATTCAGTGAGAAGGAAACAAGCTTTTATAACATTGTGTATTGCAGTGACACTCGGATACTGGTATAGGCTTTGTGGCGCAAGGAGATTGAAATTGCTTGCACGTTCCAGATTAATTAAACTAAAAGCTCGTTCCGAGGGCGCATCACTAAAAATTGGCACTTCTCTCCGGGCCGCACAGTTATTCTTTGCGGCCCGCATTTGGCCTGCGGGCCGCAGTTTGCACACCCCTGGTTTAAACGTTTTTAATGCCATTGTGGGTAGATTATGAACAATAAAAATAGCTGTAAATTAAAATTAATTGAAATATTCTCTATTCGTCTTTGCTTCAAATAATGAAAATCGTTCAGCTTATCAGAAAACTTACACTTTGCTTCTGGCATTTTGGTGATTCAACGGAAGTACAGTTGGGTGTTGAATTAACGCATGGTTCCTAATTCATATCATAACTATGACATAACAAATTTTCACTCTATCTGAACTAGTGAAGTGAGACGCGAATTTTACTTAACTTTATTCATCTGTCAATAACCATAAGTTGAATCTTTATGTTCATTTATGTGACCTAATTGTATTGTAATATCTATATAAGATAATGAAATTTATGGGTGCATTCTTATGATTCTTACCGTTATATCAAATTATCAGCAATTCCATTTCGAGCACGTAATCTATATTACTCCTTTATATTTTGGAGTCTGATTAGTATCCCGTACTGTAACTAGATTATTAATAGCAGTTACAAACTAAGACGTTTCAAATTCCGAGTTTTTGCATACTGGCATAGATTGTTAACATCAGCTTTAACAGAAGTTGATCGTCATCCAAAAATTACGTCACTGTAACGCAATAAAGTCCGCCAAAATATACGGATGATCGTCCAAAACGCACAGATGATTACCCGAAGTCGAGCAAGCTATTTCTCTCGTTTTCTCGTCGTAGCAATCCCGATATGACAGAGGTCGCTGGCGTTAGCGAGCTCGTTATCGTCAACGCAGATGCTGTTTTGGGCGATCGTAGCCATATTTTGCCAAGTTACGGTATATGACATGATTGTGACATCTTAGTTACGAAATTTTTGGATGACGTAGGCAGATGGGGCTGAGAATAACATGGGAAAAATGGCTCAGCGGTGTGGCGCATCGTGCTAAGCGTTAGGAATACGCTCGCCACGCATCTCTGATTACCTTTCGTGGCAGGGCTGCCACTTTTGCCTGACTAAAAACATCTAGATTGACCTCGAAAAACTTCTAGAAACATCTAGATTGAAAAATAAAACATCTAGAAAATACATCTAGGTATGAAGTCATTGAATTTAATGAAAATTAACAAAACAGGAGCATTGTAGGCTATTACATAATACAGTAATATTGGATGTCGAAGAAGCTAACATCATAACCTAGAATTCAATTCCCACCTGCAGAACTACAAAGGGCTTTGTTCTTATTATCTGAATGGGTGGGCAATCCATTCCTTTAAGGCTGATTCCTTAAGACAATCTTTTCTAATTTTTTGCTGGTAGTGCATACACTTTGGCATTTCGATAGGTTGATGTTTAAAGAGAGACAAATTCAATATCACCTATAGATTTAAATAACTTTATAATTTTAAAATCTTGGAGTACAGGAGTAAGCAACTTAAACAACAAAAGGTATTCTCACCCCTTGTAGCCTTGGCAACAATGCAATACTAAGCACTGACTCATCGAACCAAGGTCGTTCTTTCTATTTAACGTTAATTAAAACGTCACATGTACAATATCTAGATCTTGAGAAAAACATCTAGATCTAGATATAAAATATCTAGAGTGGCAGCCCTGCAGTTCGTGGGTTCGCATCTCATGTAGGGTTGCCAACTTGGTGTTAAACCATTCCGGGACACCTTAATGTCTAGAATTTGAAAATTGAAGCTTGTGAAACACGAAGCACGTCAGAAGCAACAGTGCGCGCTGCGCGTCGTGCAGCGTTATTTTCCAAACTGTAAATAAATTCATGATAATCAACGAAAGTTGTGAAGTGTTGACTCTTTTAACTTTAACTCAAAAATGCAAAAAAACTAAAACAGGGAAATGTACTACTTTTGCTAAGTAGATTCAATTATTTAACAAAAACACAAGAAATTAGTCTATCTGGTATTTAAATTTTTATTGTAAATTTGCCGATTTGAGAAGATCTTTTAAGAAGAGATGCCAGCAAGGCGTCCTAAAACAGACGGCTGTGCGAGCCTAAAAACTGACTGAATAATGAAATCCTGGTCATAAAAGAACATCACACTAACAGTGCATTATAAACTAAAAACAAAAAACACGAAATATTGTTACATGCAGCAACTTTATTAACTAAATTTTTCAACAAATCTCACGTGATTAAGTTTTTGATCCTCTCAAATCAAGGTGACTGCTGTATATAATCTCATGTCATACGGAGGTCACGGTTGACGAAACATGTCTAATACACAAATTTCAACTCAATCCTATTTGAATGAGCCATACAGATGTAATCGTTTTTATTGAAAAATGTGTTTGCGTGAATTACATCCGAATCCAGTTTTTTTACGAAATCGACACGCTTACAATGGCCTTCTATTTCAGAACGCATTGATTGTCGTTAAATTCTGGGACAACCGTATCCCAGCCCGGGGCACGGGACGCTAGACGTCAATTCCGGGACTGTCCCGGCCATTCCGGGACGGTTGGCAGCCCTAATCCCATGCAGGGATGATCATGTGCGAGAGGATTGCTGGACTCCTCGTCGCCGTAGGGTGGTTCACGTAACCGCTGGTCGGTTACGGCTTCCTCCACGATGAAGTCCCTGCTTCCGACTTGTAACCGGACGAGAGGCCGTGGTTCGCCATATGATTAGGCTGTCTTGTCGGCTTTCCTCTCCCCCAGAATAAATATGTAAATCCTATCCTACCCTAAATATGGTTTTCATAGGCCCACTAGTAGCCTATTACTTGTGGTATTACTGTATTAGTATTGTGGTACGTTACCGTACCTCGCGAGTATGTTGTGTACCTAACATACTTCTAGTGGGCGTAGCATAACAATTTTTTGACATGTCAATGCTAACCCCCACGTGAGTACACAATCACGTCATAGAGCTTGCCAAATATACGTACAATCGCCCGAAATGGCACGGCACGGCGCCGACGATAAAGAACTGACTAACGACTGCGATCTCTCTCATATTGGGATCGTTACGACGAGAAAACGAGAGAAATAGCTGTTCGATGTCGGGTGCTCGTCTTGAATGACAGTTCGTATAATTTGAAGGGCTTTATTACGTCGCAGTGACGTTTTTAGATGACGCGGTCAGGTGGGGGTTAGGATTGACATGTCATGTTATGCTACGCCCACTAGAAGTACTTCAGATACAAAACTACACGAGACCCCTAAACTACACTACATCCAAATTACAGGTCCCAAAGTGGGAGGCTCGCCTAAAAATTCTTTTCTTTGCATATTTGCTAGTTATGAGTTAAATACTTTTATATGTAAAAATGTTGAAAAATTTCCGGTATTTGGTGTTTTTGCCATCAGCTGCGAGTGTCTTCTGCACAAGATTTCGGCCTAATCAGTGTGGAAAACCAATTCTTGCAAAGGAAAGTTATTCAAACTTTTCAGGTCAGTGGAAACAAAAACTAAATTGTGGGCCCTAATTAAGCTCTTTAATGTCTACATTTTGCGTTAAATTTATAGAACCCGTGACATTTACTGATCATATTTGATATACCGTATTTCTCCGTGTATAATACGTACTTCTGGTTCCAGATTTCATCTTCAAAATTAGGGGGTGCGTATTATACATCCTGATTGATTTTTTACATGCAATTGCAAAATACACATGTTTTCTTTCCGTCTTATTTCTATTAATTTTATGTGACAAAGTCCACAATAACCAGATCATGCTTGTTGCAGTGGAATCACACCCACGGAATGGACTATCTTGTCTAACAAAGGACAACGCATCTATTTCAATAACCAGTGTATATAAGCTTCAAATCGATAGTTTGATTGTTGTTGTCGTCCAGCCTGCATCGCTCATTTTTGTTTTGCCGTATCGGCAAAACTGAATGTTTTCAAATCGTTTTTTCTCACTCTGAATTGCGGCTTGTTTCATTTCTCTCGTTTTGACCAATCGGCAAACCTAACGCTCACAAATCTTTTTTTCCCAACCATTTTCAAAATGCTCTAAGATAGGTAACAGCACAATAATTCAAAGCCGGGCAACAGCACTCCGAGATTGACAGACACATCCCTGTCAATGTCATAAACACTTGAAACATATCATTAAATCACAGTGAAACTTTCTAGACTGGCTTCCCGAAAATACCAAATGCGGTCGACGCAAGTGACCAAAGTGAGTGATTGAATTCGACCGTGCGTATTATGCATGGACCTTGGTATTTTCATACAATCCACATCCTAAAAGAGTCCCGCGTATTATACATGGTTGCGTATTATACACAGAGAAATACGGTATATCAGTGATCATTTGCTAAAAAGATTTACAAGGTTGCATGACATACAAGCTGCACCACAAGATTCCCATCAAATGTCCCATCAAGTGATCTTCAGTTTCTCACGGTACAACCATTATAAAAAATATTAATAAATAAGTTAAAACTGATCAAAATATCAAAACCCTAAATAAAATAACTGCTGTACTTTCATTCAAGTTTAAATTTATAAATACCTGAATTTTTAGCAAGAATTTTATATGAATAATATTTTCAGCAGTAAGTAAAGGACGACAACTCCCTTTGTTGGTGGAAAAGCAGGGAAAACTGGTTTTAGAGGAATCAAATTTGAAACAACTTCTTTGCGGGGAAAATGTCAAGGATATGCCTGTTGTTGTTATATCGATAGCTGGGGCATTTCGAATGGGAAAATCGTTTCTATTGAATCTATTTCTACGTTATTTTCAGAAAAATGGGGTAAGAACCGATGGGGTACCCTGCATGGGTTAGAGATTGTGCGAGAGAATTACTGGACTTTGCACTGCTGTATGGTGGTTCACATAACCATTCGTATGTTACGGCTTCAAGTCCATGCATCTGAAAATAATACCTGGCTAACTAATCCCATACTCAACATGAAATGGTAACTGGACGATATGATTAAGTCATGTTATTGGCTTTCCACCACTGTGAAAAAGATAAAAATTTTATTCTATCCTTGATTTAGGAGAAAAATTGGCTAATAGAAGATCCTTGGGCTAAACTCAATGAAGGTATAAGCTGGAGAGGTGGTGCTGAATCCCATACCACAGGAATTGTTGCGTGGAGTGAACCATTTATTGTGAAAAAATCTGATGGATCGAAGGTAAAATCATTATTAGGCCTATATTTACCGTACTACTGTGTTATTTCAAATTTTCAATTTCTGAAATCAACTCTTGGTGAATTTCAGATAGCGGTTATACTATTGGATACCCAAGGAAATTTCGACCATGGATCTAAAAAAGAAAACAGCGTGAGGGTATTTGCATTGAGCACTTTATTCAGTTCACTGCAAATATTCAATGTTTCAAGACAAATTCAATCAAATGACTTAGAACATCTGAAGGTACTGGTTATAGTACAATATACTATATATATACATATTATACACTTGTATTTGTGAGCGCTGTCATGAACTCATATCACCATATTTTTTGAGATAGTGGTTCAGCAATGTATCATTTAGTAGAATATTAATAAAAGTCTATTTTATTTGAAGATATACTGTATATCAATAAATTTCTAGCGAGTGTTCCCAATAATCTTTGACAAATAGGTAGCTCTATCGTATTAGTAAGCATTTTAGCCTTTCGTAACTAACTAACTTTATTTGTGTCGTTTATTGTTCAGTCTTTTGTGGAATACTCCAAGTTTCCTGTCTTCAGTGACCAGAACAATATTGACGGTGTTCCCAATTCAAAGGAAAAAAAGTATTTTCAGGTCAGTTGAGTAATTATCTAATAAAAAATAGTGTTTGATTATTATTGCGCTTGTACGAGGTAACACTGTTGCATTGCCTCCTATTGACTTACTACTTTATTTATTAAGTACCGTAATCATCTTTACATGGCTACCTGCACCGTTATTTACTTTGCGATTAAGATACACAGCTGTCGAAAACTCAGATGCAATCTGCGCACACAGTTTATTTGTTTAGTAATAATATTTAAAATGGCTTTGGATGGTCTTAAAATTATTTTTGGTACTGCAGACTTTTTTTTATATATTTGATGAATAAATGGGAAAAGAAATGGGTATTCCCGAAGTATGTAAACCAAGATGGCGGACACCGGAACGTAGTATGTGCACAAGGTTAGGGTTAAGCCATAATTTTATTTCAATTTTCCTTATTCTAGTCAAAACAATATTTCTATTGTTTAGGACTTGTTATTTCTGGTTCGTGACTGGGCAAATCCCATAGACTATGAATTTGGAAAGACGGGTGGAAGAGAATACATGACAAATTTAAAATTGAAGTCTTTCAATACTGATAAAATGTCAATGTATCAATATTTGGAGAATACTTTCGATAACATCAATTGTTATCTGATGCCAGAACCAGCTGAAAAAGTCAGAATCACAGGCGAGGAGACGCCACCACTGCTTGCAATAGGTAGGGAAAATTTAATTTTATTGTGTAGACCAGGGGTGTACAACCTTTAATGCAGGAGGGCCAGATACAAATAACTGGGTGTAACTAGGCTTTCTAGTAGTTGCAGGCACAAAAATTTTGATTATTGATCTTATGGCATGGGTTGCTCCTTTGGTCTAAGCTAGCTGTAAAGGCATCGACATAGATAAAAAAAAATTGACTCCGGTAAAAGCCTGGAATTACTCGCGCGTTCCAAATTAAACTTAATTGAAAACTCGTTTCGCGTTGATCTTCAGTTATTATTCTTTAGGTCCAGCAATTCATTTCACATAGGGTCCACAATATTCGATGACGATGTTATGTTCTGTAATGCTGCGTACATAATCATATAATGGCTACTTCTAATAGCACTGATTTTCGATTCAGTATGTCGTATTTGTTAATCAAACATTACACACAAATTATGTTGAACAAAGAAACACACAAAACACTGACTGAAGATCAAAACTTCTAGTTACCTCTAGGATGAACTTTTGACCCAACAGATAATTGCCATACATGTCGGTTCCCACTTCTGTGCACCTTTCGTGTGTCTGCTATCTCTTTTCCCTGTCTGCCCTAAATTACTTGATGAGACTATACAAAGTGCTGCACTTGAGTACTGTGACTTAATTTTGGTAATGAGTCACTTACGGTATGAGTTTGATATATTTCAATCTCGGTTTTCAGATTTAGGGAGCAAGTTCGCTTTGCATATTGAACATTTGGCAGAAGAATTCATCAGTCCCGACGAACTGTCACCTAAAAATATTGGGTCTGATACAAGCACCACTGGCAAGGAATTATATGAACATGTCAAGAATTGTGCTGATATATTACTGTCCGGAAAAGGTCCAGTATTGCCAGACGAAATGGAGGTAACAATGTCTTATCGCTTGGAGTTTAAAACTGTACTTCATTAAACGACATTAATCATTATCCACAGACTACATCATAATAAACAGAGCATATATGTTTAATCGGCTAGGGAACCATAGTTTGTTTAATCACATTTTGAAACCTTGATTTGGATTAACCTGAATGAGGTAGCACTGTATCTAAGATTTTAAAGACTATCCCACCTCTCCATGCATCTCTTCAAAAAACCTATGTTGAAACAAAATTCTAAAATCTTGAACTATCTAAGATAATGTCAAAAAGGTGTTGATATTTTTCTTATTCCAGCTTATTGCAGTTCACAATTTTAAAATGCAAAAAGAAAAAACGTTGGCTAATTATGAAATGAATGTACTGCAGGTGAGTGACTTTCTTCTTCGTTCTTACGCTTGCAGTATTTATAATCCATTTCGAACACTGTTTAATATGGATAGGGCTGGGCACTTTGAATCAATTGGAATAGTAAATTATTCGAATCGGTTCAGAGCAAAATTTCGAATTGTCGCCATCTTGTTTTTTTCTTTCTTCCAATGGTTGAGGTGGATTCCACATTTTTTTTTCTTTAATAAAGTCATATTTTTTCAATGCAATTCTGACACGACCATTTTATGTAGTGAGTGTTTTCCATTGTGTGTAAACTCTCAGCAATCTGTCTTAGTGATGTATTCTATGTTTCCAGTAATTCATTTGTTGACAAAACCAATTACAATAAAAAAGTCGCATACAATTACATATCCCCCATTGACTCCCCAAGTATTAGTGATTCGTTTCGAAAAAAATATTCGATTCTGAAATCATCAAGTATTCGGAAATGCCCATCCCTAGATATGGATCGCTATAGAAAAGTTGTATTTGGCGGACACGAGGCGTGCATAATTAATAGATTAGGTATGTAGTAACCAATAGACCGTGTTTTTTGTTGTTGTTGGAACAAGAACTGCCTTTGATTGTAACTAGCGCCAAACTAATTTTAAATTTATTTCATAATAGTTCTCAGTATATTTTAACCTTATTGTAATTGTAACTGATTACTCCATTTAATAGGGCAGGATGGTTGATAAGTATAGGCTATTTATTACTCACTAATTTTCCAATGGTTGTAATTCTATTCCGAGTTAAAATTACAGCCATAGAAAAGTTGTATTTGGCGGACACAAGGCGTGCGTACTAATTAATAGATTAGGTATGTAGTAACCAATAGACCGTGTTTTTTTTGTTGTTGGAACAAGAACTGCCTTTGATTGTAACTAGCGCCAAACTAATTTTAAATTTATTTCATAATAGTTCTCAGTATATTTTATTAACCTTATTGTAATTGTAACTGATTACTCCATTTAATAGGGCAGGATGGTTGATAAGTATAGGCTATTACTCACTAATTTTCCAATGGTTGTAATTCTATTCCGAGCTAAAATTACAGCCATAGAAAAGTTGTATTTGGCGGACACGAGGCGTGCGTACTAATCAATAGATTAGGCATGTAGTGAACCAATAGACCAAATTTTTTTTGTTGTTGAAACAAGAACTGCCTTTCATTGTAACTAGCGCCAAACTAATTTTCAAATTTATTTCATAATAGTTCTCAGTGTATTTTAACCTTATTGTAATTGTAACTGATTACTCCATTTAATAGGGCAGGATGGTTGATAAGAATGAGCTATTACTCACTAATTTTCCAATGGTTGTAATTCTGTTCCGAGTTAAAATTACAGTGTAAATTTACCAGCGTTTGGAAACCGCAGAGAGGTGGCAGCAATACGATGATATAATCAGATGTTCGCGGGAAGAAGCAAGATTGCAATTAATGAATAATACATGGTATGGCAGAGATGGGGATTCGAAATCGGAGGCAATTTTAGAAGCTGAAATTTCAAGCAAGGATGCTTATTTCGTAAGCAAAATGAAAGACAGACGAGAAAGGCTTGTCCGCGAAAATATTGAACTGTGGAAGCAAGAATACCGTAAAAAACTTCAGGTTAAAATGAGTACTTGTGATTTTTTTCTTTCCATCGTGAAAGAAGATAACTATGATATATATTTTTGACGTTATAGGAAAGAGGTTGGATCCATACATCTGAAAGCACATTGGATAAAACATACGAGGAAGCACTGGCAAATTTATTAGCAGAGGATGATAGAGATCCCATTTCGGTTGTTTTACTTCTGAAATCGGCAAAGGAATATATGGAGAAAATTCATTCTATAAATAAAAGGAACGCTTCAGACTCAAATTTCTCCAGGAAAGCGACAGTTAGTGGAACATTAGCAGCTGGTAGCGTTGTAGCCGGAATCGCAGTGTCCTTACCTGCCGCAATACCATTTGCAGCTGCTTCTGCCGGTATTTGGCTTTATAAGAAAACAGAGAAATAATGGGTAATGTTCCTACAAGAATAAAAAAATTGCCAATTGATATTATAAAGGCTATGACAATGATCAGTGTCCCTGAAAATCATTGGGGTGTCTAATTATCATAATGTGCCAGAGACTGCATATCCTCCAAATCCTTATTTAAGATGTCATGAATGCAATAAAGATAAATAATAAGTGTCATCAATGCCTATTAAATCTCGCTATATTATATAAATACGCAATTATTATTTATTAAAATCAATCACAAACATTATGCTTACCAGTGATTTGTGGCTGTATAATATGTATGCAATGACTATGCTATCACTGCTAACATACTCGTACTCATTTTCAGAGTTTTATATTTCGAGTACGGTATGGGCTTTACACCATATGAAGCTAAATTGATTATACTCATTGGGGAAAATTTGGCTTATGGTTCATTTGAATTGGACAGTCCCTAAGTAATTTTGATGGGCCATGGCACATTGTTTGATTAACATAAGCTGATTTAAGCAGACTCAATATAGTAATGATGTTATGTATATTAGGTGTGACCGAGAAAGTATTGTCGTCAAAAGTTAATTAAGGGATATTACTAAATAAATCATCGATATAAGCAACAAACTCGCATGTTTAAGATCAAACTCACGCAATTGCCCGAAGAGCACATTGGCGGGAAAGAGCAGTGATCACTATAATTAGTCGCACAAGCCTATACTGTACACGTATTGTCAGAAATGTCATCTTTACTAAAGTAAAAAACGCACGTATTGTACGGGCGGCTACCACGCCCCTCCCCTGAGTGCACGCTTTCAATACAAAAGTTATGAGTTGTTTTTAGCAAGTAGCATAAGATTAGAATTTCAATATAGCCACTGATGAATGTGACATTATTCGATCATTGCGTTCATTTTTTGATACAGTATTTGATCTTGCGCAACCATTCTTTGCATCTGTCTAACTCGGAGATTCTCAATAACGCGAAACCCCAGTAATCTGACACCAAACAAAGTTGATAGATTGACTAACAATTTTTAAACTGTATTATGAATGATATTAACAAAAGTATTTATTCCATTTATACAGAATATCATAGTTCAGGGTCGGCTAACCTTTTTGGCCGAAGGGCCACATGTGGTTCACTAATATTTGCGCGGGCCACTTAACATGGTAGTTATGTTCTAGTTTTGTTACACTGACTACAGGTTAATGAAAAAACAAACAATACCACCACAACAACTTCCACAAATATTAGAACAATAAAACTGTTGTTTCCCAACCATTGATGGGGTGCCATCAGTGGTTATTCTCGAAGGTTTCGCCAAAGACAAGCCAAGACGCTTGATCATTTTTATCACAGCTCTTAAAACAAACCAATGCCTCTAGTCGTACCCTTAACATGGACACTGTCTGCGAGCTCCACAATTTTCATATCATCATCAACTCCCCGCAAGCAGATCGCCAAGTCGCCGACTGAGCAGTAAACTTGATGTCAGTGCTTTTGTCAGGCACCGAGGAATACAATGAAAATGTTCCCGCTTTTGCAATTAAAGTTTCCGCAATGGAGTTGCCAAGCTCTTCAACACGACGTGTTATGGCAAACACCTCTTTTATTTCCAGGTCGTAAAACATTGGCAAGCCGAACAATACAAAACACACATTCCCATACGAATTCTTTATCTGAGAATGCCTTCGTTTGTTTTGCGATAACATCATATATAGTAGTAAAAAAACAAGTGTGTAGACGATTATGGAACCTTTATATATATATCGATATCTCCTCTCAGTTGGTTTCGATTTAAAATGGCACCCATGGTTTGTTTGGAAGGGCTGGCAGAGCGCAATTCAGGGAAATAAACAAATCGTTTGTATCACATCTTTGCATACTACATCACTCGAAAAATAGTTTTACTCAATTTTTTTTATTCAATTCTGGAAATTCAGCGCGGGTCACTCGAAATGCTTCCGCGGGCCACGGGTTGGACGACCCTGTCATAGTGTGAATGCTGTCTTTGTTTATTGCGGAAAGTCTTTCAATTCGAGAATTCGTTTTTTTGCTACCATATCTGCTGTAACTAGATTAAATCTTCTTGCTACGCCACTGCAAGTAAGTACCCCTATGGGTTCGCAAACTCCAGGTTGAGAACCCCTGGTTTAACCAACGACTAACATACCGTCTAACTCTTAACTGAATAACTTTGATCAACATACATTAGCTCATATTAGTGAGCAAAAACTGACAATGATTTTTGATGACTTCGAGTAGTGCATGGCCATTATACAGGGTGTCTCGAAAGTAAGTATACACTTTTAATTTTGAATTGCTTTTCGTAGAGGATTCATTACTTCAGGAAACATAGTATGGATAAGTAGTAAAATTTAGGTATTGATTGCATTTTTCAACAACTCACAGAATGACAAAGAGATTACCCCAAAAATGTGGAGCAAAATTGCTGTTTGGCAAGAGCATGTAAATCAGTAAGGCAAACCCAGCCCTTCATTAACAGAAAATTTGAAATTATTTCAGTGTCGAATGTTTTTCTCAGAGAGTCCGCTCCTTGGTCTTGCTGATTTTTGTGCATCAACTGCAGATCCAATTTCTATGAATTTCGTAATTGACATAATCCCAAAGTCTCTCTCTAAAAGACACAAATTTAAAAAAACCTACTGAGATCTAAGTTGCCAGCTATTTCAAGAAGCGTTAGTTTGAATCTTACTTGTGGAATGGTTAAACCGCGACTAATATATACCGTCTTACTCTAGTTCTAGACGAAATCGAGTAATAAAAAAAACGTAACGAAATCTACATCACTTAAACATTTAGTGAATTTACGTCATCCAAAATATTTTTTGTGACTCCAAAACCGGTAATCGATTCAATACAATCGATCGAACCTGGTACAGGTTTGATTGTTTCATGCCGACAGCCGTATATCCCATCGTTTCCTTGTTTTGATTGTTTACCTAACGAAGTTTGATGCCTGTCATCTTTCTATGTAGGCCTAGTTAGATTTAGTAAAAAATAGGGTGGATATAAGATGAAACCCATCATATACAAAGGACTGTGTGCTGGAATCGGCTTGTTTGCTGTTATCGTCTTAACATTCAAGTAAGTGCGTCATTCAGTTATTCGGTAGGAACGAAAATTATTAGAATTTCAAACTCGTTTCAGAATATCCTAACTGAATATAACCTATAAATGTGTTGCCATAGTTATGATTCTTCCTTATATTTGTTCATATAAAGTTTATTTCCAGTATGATAAAAAAATAAAGTTCTGTAACCGGTACCGTACTCGGTACCGGTACGGTACTGGTCCTTATTACTGTATTACAATATTGGGGTCTAGTATAGTTTAGTACCACAAGTACTTCCAGTGGGCGTAGCATAACGATTTTTGCATATGTTATTCCTAACTCTCACCTGACTATGCCATCCAAAAATTACGTCACTACGACGCCACCATCACGTCATAGGTATTGCCAAAGTATAATTACGATCGCCCGAAATGGCATCTGCGCCGCCGATAAGAACTTGCTAAAGCCGGCAATCTCTCTCCTATCGTGATCGTTGCGACGAGAAAACGAGAGAAATAGCTTGCTCGATTTCGGGTTATCGTCTGCGCGTTTTGTACGACTATCCGCATACTTCGGTGGGCCTTATTACGCCACTGTGACGTCGGAATGACGTAGTTTTTCGGTGACGTAGTCAGTTGGGGGTTAGGATTGACATATGCAAAAATTGTTGAGCCAGGCCAACTAGAAGTGGATGTGGTACTAAACTATACCAGACCCCAATATTGATTCAACAATCAGCTAATGGGCTGTATTTCAAGGTATTTAATTTTTTTTTGTTTTAATTTTCAGTACATTCCATTACATGGTAATCTTCTGGTCATTCTTCGCTGGGGTTGCTTTATCAATGCTGTATTTAAGGTGATATTTTTATTCCTCATTTTTTACCTCATATTTATAAAATTTCCTCATATGGCATAATACATGTGATTATGAGAAGGACCTGTGACAAGGAAGCTGATTAGAAATGGGATACACTGATGACACTACCACCATTCGTCTTACCTGTTGATAATTAATGAACTAACGATGATTGACACGAAATGCAGTCACGGCGGTTTGTGAACATGGACCTCAAATTTGACACTAAATTTCCGATAATAGAAAATTTGACTTTGAAAAATTTGAGTTTTATAGGTCATGTTATTTTCTTGGCTTATTTAGATTATCAAGATGTACTTTTTGAGCTTTGTTATTCCGAGCTGAAAAGTTCATTAGAAATACCAATATTTTTAACTATAAATAACTGAATAAATAACTAATTATGAATTAACTAAAAACTAATTGAATAAATATTTTTTCACATTTTCAGTCCGGGGTATCAAGTGCCCAATTTGCTGGCATCTACATCACCCAAAAAGGTTAGTTATAATATCTGACTTTTTTTTCTTGCTTTTAATTATTAGGTAAGTCATTACATGCCACTAAAAATATTTTGATATATGAATTTTTGATGACGTATCATTTATGTGTATGTTTATCAAAAATGTAGTTGGAATATCAATATTGTATATTTTGGAATAAGACATTTAATGTGGATTAGAGCAATTGTAAATTTGCAATTAATATTACAGAAAAGAATTCTATCAACCGATTCTTCTGATGATTGTAGTGTTTGTGGAAAGGCAAATTGTAAAAGAGAAAGGTAATATATTTGCCTATTATATCCATGATCTATGCTTGATTAATAATACTATATCACTTGTGATAACGACTGTTGAAACGGAGGCATTTTAGAATTGAAACTGACTTCAGCTCAAATTCATGTCTCTAGGTTGATATGAATTTTAGTTCTGATTCCAACTCTTGACTCATTTTCTTTCTTTCATCACTTCTAAACGACTATTATAAATTCTTTTCTTTTATAATTTTTCATCTTTGTTCTATCATGCAAAACAAAATACTTCATTGTTATTAATTGTTTATGATAGTGTCTTTGATGTGGGGAATTGAATGCATTATAAAATTTTGATCAAAATAATATAATTATTCATTTGCTTATAGGAGAGAAGAAACTCTTGAAAAACTTCGACCCTGGGCAGGTATAAATGTAACAGAAAAGGAAGATAAAGCAGTGCAAGAGGTAACTTTTATACGGCGATTATTTTGTGAAACTGTGCAACCAAATGATCTTTTGAACAAATAAAATCTGTATAATTTGAGGTTTTCTGTGCAAAGGCCTCTTAAGTTTAGAAAGGATGTTTCCACATTCAGTGCTGATTTTGAATGTCAAAATTTTGTAGCATTTTGTGATTGTGCAATGGCGTAAATGAGTTTTTGTCTTTTGTTAATTTACTTTTTGTTTTTTCAGTTCTTGGAAACACTTCTTGAGAAAAATGTCTGGCATTGGTACAGGTATATACAATGGTTATGTCTAATCGGATTAAGAAATTTTTGTTAATCAAATCGATTTAACATTGTGTCGGTGTAAAAGGCTAGCTCCGTTTACCATATCTAGACCGGTAGTCTGATTAGAGGCCATGATAGTCATAGGAATTAGTTAACGATAATCATCAGCTTTCTTTTCTCTTGGCATAAATAGGAAAAGTATATCCTTTAATAATATTATCAAGTATAATGTTAAACACAGTAAGAAAGAGGCTATTTATTTTGTTATTTAGCAATTTAGCATAAGAACTTGATTCTGAAATTTTATTTTTTCATCATCATTCTGAAATCATCGTGTTTTTGTGGAACAAAATTTTAATTTGCTAATTTGCTAACCAGGACCAGTTATGATACCCATCTAAACAATATTGATACCAAAGACGAGCAAATATAGAAGGATTCACAGTTTAATACACCTACCCTGTTAATATAATATTTAACCATGCTTTAATATTGTTGACTGTTTTAAATTTAAGTTGTTAAATTTTTTTTTTTCCTATGTCTAGGAATTTAAGCAAAGAAGAAGAATTTGTTAACGAATTAAAGATGGCGTTACGATATTTTCTATCTGTTTTATATCGTCGAATAAACAAGGTATTTTTTTTATTTTTTTTCAATAAAAATTCAACCATTTTTATTTTGTTTGTGGGACTTCTATTTACGATAGTCTATTACGCTTAAGAAGGAGTCTTTGTTTTGTGATGTTGTCATCACTCATCAGGTATCATCAACTTAATATATTTTCAAAAGATAAAATTTTCGAAGTCTAATTTTTGATACCTATTACATAAAGCCCATGTAGTTTGAGCCTTTTTTCACAAAACCTTTTGCAAGACCAACTGGTGTAAAGCAATTTGCTAAAATATATTAGATTTCGATGTTGATATTAATAAAAATACAAAGTGACTCCTGCACAAAAAGAATTTTACAAATAACCAAATCGATTGAATATACCATTTTATAGTTGTTATTAAATTCTTCATACACAGATTGACCTGCCAGATGTCATCGTAAAAAAGTTGATAAAAATAGCTGTGGAACATCTTCATGTTTGTTTGTGTGCTATGGACAGAGGTAAATATCATTTTGACCAATGGTCAAGCATGTACTTTTTGTTTATGATTTTCATGTGCTACGGACATATCATGATTATGAATACTTCTCGTTAGAATTGCCGCTTTTTTGAGGCAAAAAGATGAAATGGGGGTTGCCTGGCGTGGGTTTGAATTCAAGGCCTCTGTGCGCGAAACAGGACTCAAATGTTCTGTTTCGTTTATTTTTAGATAAAGTAACTCAAGATGATATTTTGACGTATTATGGACCTCGTCTTCATAAAGCAGCTCGCAGTCGAAGATCAGAACTAGATTATATCCGTGGATTGTGTGACATCATAATGCCTATCTTGTTGCCATCTCAATTTGTTGAGGGGGAGTAAGTATATTAGACTTCCTTATTAGTATCAAAGTTAACCAGACCAAATTATTTTGCATTTTAGTCTCATTTCAGAAAGATTGAATAGGGATATTTGTACCGATTTAGGTTCAAGATTTAAAGAAATAAATATTGATCGTTTTGTTTCATGTTTTCACTTTTTGAAAAGAGCCTTGTTCAGAGTGCAGGTGTGGCATCATCTCGTAGAAAAATAAAAAAGTACGAAACTTCGCTCACTTCGATTTCCGGGAGTTTAAAAAAAAGGTTCCGATCGACTCTTTTGACAATGAAAACATACCGTACATGGGTTTATGTGATCTTGTTGCAATGTCATGGGTATTAACAATCCTGTTCTTGAGATGACGACTTGTGTTATTTATATTTGGCATTTCATAGTCTATATATTAGATTCATGTAAAGTGTGTCATCTTAATTTATTGTACACAGAGACATACTTTAGTAAAAATGACGTATAGTTATGGTAAATGAGTTTGGCGTGGTTTTCGAATGAGGGAACCAGTGGTTAGTGATTTTGAACAAAAAGGAACTCGTTCTTACAATTCTGAATTCCGCCATTGTCCATAACCACTTCTATAACAATTTTTTTTTTTTTCATGATTTTAAATCAATTTTCCAAGCAAGAATTTTTGTAAAATAATTGTTGCAATTTGCTGAATCTGATTGTATTCTATCTAAAAATCTGTTGTACATTCAGAATTCAGCGATTCCCAATCTGTGTCTAAACTCGCAACTAGGGATGGGCAATGTAGAATAATTTACTATTCTAGAATATTCTAGAATAGTTAAATCGAATCCAGAATACCGAATCCTATTCTATTTTCATACTTATTCAAATAGAGGGAATTTTCCTGATTGCTGGATTTAGATGTCAAAAAATTATAAATGTATTGCTATAAATGTATTATTTATTTGGAAATGTCCTTAACATTGGATTTGATTTGATACTAAACAGGCATTTCCCAGGACAATGAAATCTAAGAATATTACAATATTTTTGCTTTCAATTGTTCCAAATGTATGTAATCTCTAAATACTTATATGCTAAATTACGCTTCAAACACTTTAATAGTAAGCGGTTAAATACAAAAATAGATATGAAACGGCATTAAATCATTATTAATGTTATAGAGTGTCGAGTGTACTAAAACACACCCGCTGAGAATTAATTAGATGCAGGACCAGCGTGTGGCCACTGCAACCTATGCACCGGTGTAAAATATTAAATTTAACCACTATCAATTAAAATCAATACTGTGCGATCAAGACGTGCAAAACAAGGTTCCCGTAAACGCGATTTCGTAGTTAGTTATTAGTTAACATCATCTAAAGAAGAATTCAATTTCTTTTATTATTGTTACATATCATTATCTACCCAGACTTAGCTCTACTCAAACTCAATACGTAACTATTTTCGCCAGATGCGGCATCTTTTTTTTAAGTTTATCGGCGAATAAAATTACTACAGACACTCGATCAAACGTGCGTCTATCTTGAACGATAGAAACGGACCGAAAGATATGTAATCTTTTGGGAGTGAAATTTAAATGCGACAGATCGTCGTGTTATGCGATATAACTTTGTATTTCAGAAACTGGTGTGATAAAAGTAATAAAATTATTCCAAAATAATATTTGATTTAAATTAATCGCAAGTAATGTCATAACATTTTACGCCTGGCTTTTGATTTACATGCATCATTTTCTGGGGAAAACTCGCCGGTCGCGGAAAATCATTTACAGTAATGTAAAATGAAGCAAGGCACGCCTGTAAACAATTGAAGATTGTTGCAATCAGATTATCGTAATATCGCCAGTAAGTCGGCACAAATAATTATTATTATTAAACCCTCGCTAGATAGCAAAGCAGGAAAACGCAAAAAATGTGCAATAACGAGTCTTCGTCGTAAGGTGTACTTCACGACTTCTTGTCCAGAATACGCCGATTGAGATTACTGTGTTTGATGTTTACCGATTTTACGGTTCCTTGCGATTAGGCAAGTTTAATTAAACGAGAGAAATTTCCACGTGAGAAAGAACGCTCGTCTTTAATTGATAAATTAGAAATCCGAAATACAAAAATTGACGCCCGGCGAAAACGCAAAAATGGTGCAATAACGAGTCTTCGCCCTGAGATGTACTTCGCCGACTTCCTGTCCAGAATACACCGATTGAGATTACAGTGTTTGAAGTTTACCGATTTTACGGGTTCTCTCCGAGCAGACGCAAGTCTAGTTAAACGAGAGAGATTTCCACGCGAGAAAAACGCTCGTCTTTAATTGATATTTAAAAACCCGAAATGCAAAAATCGACGCATGGCGCCGGAGAGGCGGAAACCGAATCCTGTTATCGGATCCTGTTGGATTCGAATACTTTGGGATTCGAATCCTCCGGATTCGGTATTCTATATTGCCCATCCCTACTCGCAACACTTAGGTATTTAGTAATGCGGTGACTTAATATTCAATTTCATTTCAGTATCATGAAATCATTTCTTCGAGAAGTTTTATCATCTAACGTTATTCTACCTGGATTAGATGCCATCACTGATCCGGATACATTGAATAATTTACTTCTGATATTTTTCGACAAATCTTTGGTAAAGTTGATATTTTTGATGTTATTATGTGTAGGTTATGTTTAATATTAATGAGTTTTAATACTGGGTTAATTTAAAGTGAATTTATCAGGTCACCTTTTTGTCACTTTATTGGCAAATTTTCAGGACATCTTTTGTGTCGTTGAAACAGTATATAGTAATTAAGAGACCACGATGGCAAAATTCACCATAAGATAACTTTAATTTTAAATGAGCAAATTTACTATTTGCTTAGGCATAATTCCATCAGCATTACACTTGATTTTTGTAGTTCTTACTACCAGGTGTCCAGGGCTGTGAAGTTGTGAAAAATTTAAATAAGATTCCTAATCATTTATAATTTGGCTCTGACTCGGTCACCGAGTTGACAAAAATGATAACTATAAGACCTGTGGATTACGCAAATTTTGATCTGATAAACTGATAACACCAAATTTAGACTACCAAAAATTTTAAAGTCTTATCTATTTGCTCATTGCTCCTGTCTCTGAAGAATTCTCCTGAATTTTTAGGAGGTTGAAGACTTGAAGCCGTACCTACTAGTATTTTTCTCTGCCCATATCAAGTTTCAGTCTATTTAAATTGAAGAATTTTTGTTTATATTCCAGCCCGAAGAAGCAACGGAACCGCCTGCTCCCGCTGTTTCATTTCTAGAAAAATTTGCACCTCCAGATATTTTGCAAAATGATTCAGCTGTAAGAAATTTTATTCTTTTTGAAAATGTTATCAATTTTTTTTCATCTTTCAGAATATACTCTCAAATAGGTTTATCATAAATAAAGATGTTTTCAAATGAAGTGAACTATATTTTACTATCAAACATATACAATAAACAAATTATTTCTAACAAGTTTTTTCTTGAACATTATTTACGCTGAACCAAGAATTTTATATATCGAGCATCATCCCAGCACTGCGAGTGACTACTGCAACCAAAGTAAAGCTCCTATGATGACATAATAACTGAGTTATTCGATTTATACCTATATTTTGGAAACCAACTAAAAACTGAAAAATAGCTTGCAAAACCATGAAACGAGATAATGTTAACCTCCATGCTTGAAAATCTGTCTGAGTGATTGTTAAGATATTTTCTGATTAGTCAATGTTATGGAAGTAGAGAAGTAAGTCGATGCTCTGGAAACATCTATTCTTTGGTTTGATTTAAAAATAGGCAGTTGAAAAAAATTTAAAAGGGATTCTCTATTATATCATCTCAAAAGTAGCAAGAGTAAATTTTGACTCCTATTCTAAATAAAACATCCTTTGCGAAATTCGAAGTTTTAGTACAAATTTCTAATAAATTCAAGAAAAACATCAGCGTCATTTGTACACAGACACAACAAATCATATTCTCCGTTTGTCCAACATTGAATTTGGTATACCCATCTTTACATTTCTAAGTATCTTGCTGACTCTGCTAGTTACAAGCCTTATACAGAGAAATTTTTGAACAACAAAAATATTCCAGATGCTACAAGTTGACTTGCCAGAAATTCTTCAAACACAAGATATGCTTTATCAATTCATGACTTTTCTCAAAACACAAGGAGCAGTTAATATTCTGCAGTTCTGTCTTACTGTTGGTAAGTTATTGATGCTATTTCTTTTATTACTAGAAATTTAACATGATTTCAAGCTTTTATGATTTATTTGCAGATAGTTAATAAAAAAACTGACATATATGATTTTGTAAATCCTTAATTTTGGCCGAATTCAGAATATATAAAAAATTATCACTTTAAGATTTTGATAATTTAATATCCAGGTTTATAGTTACCGCTATCTAATATTACACAATCTTATTCCAAACAAGGCTATTTATAAGTAGGCTATTAGGCTCACTGCTACATTTGTATAAACCAGTAGTTCGCAAATTTTAAACTTTTACCGCATGTGGCCTTCTGTTCTTCTATTACAGGGGTGTGCAACCTGCTTCTCACAGGCCAAATGCGGCCCACTGAGAAGTGCCAATATTGAATATTAGCCCGCGAAATGAGTTTTTAGTTTAGTTTTATATTTTATGTGCGAGTAATTCCAATCCTATTGCGTTGCAAAGTTATTATCCAAATTTATTATTTTGTTATTATCTATAATTATGACGTTACCATCGCTTAACAGCTAGCTTCTGTGAAACGAACAGCGCATTTCATAACATTAATAACCAAAATTGTTGTGCCTGCGACTATTAGAAAATCTATGTTAAATAAAGGTGTTCACCTAGTTATTTGTATCTGACTTTTTTTTAATCATGGCAGAGGATTTCAATAGAAGATGTCTCGCACCAGAGCAATCTACAGAACAAAAACAAAAATTACACAGAGAAGCAAAAGATATTTATGAGACATATTGCCTTCCTGAATCGATTAATTTCATACATTTTGAAGAAGACATCATCAAAGAATTGAGTAAAAGTAAGTTCCCGAATTTTTTTTTTTTTTTCAGGGTCGACTTTCTTGTTCATTTTCGTAGCAATGGCCACTCACCAGTGATCTGTCGATGAGGTAACAATTGAAATTTGCGCAATTGCCCAGGCACATTTTTCATGCCGACAAATTTAAAAACATGGTTGGCTTGTTTTTTGCTACATATATGTGTTTTTGAAATTTGAGTTTGAATCAAATACAAAAAAAACATAATCGCCATTCGACTGCAGTAATCAAAAATTAGTTCAGAAAAAGCTGAATACACAAAGCTGATGTTAATCATGAATAGTTTAACAAATCAGGTGCGTGGATACACTCTACAAGTAAACAATAAGAAAATTCACTTTAACAATTAGTAATCGTGTTCGATCACGGTGGTTGGATATTTTGAATCATAATGATGTTAACATGTAAACCCGTGTTTAATTGTACTCGTAATAACTAATAAGCATCAAAAATTTTCAATGGTAAAGTTTGGGGAACATTTTTCTGGGGTCGAGGGTTGGGGAGATGTCCATTGTATATATGCTTTTGCTGGAGTGTAAGTATTTACATGTGAAATGTTTTTATCATGCAAATTATTATTTCCAATTAGTTTGTGGTCTCATAAGGGTCATTTCTTAGGCTAGGTATGACTTTTTTTGGTGATTAGGGACAAGATCATATGAAGTGTACCAATGGATCGTTCTACCAAATTGTGGTTGGGGGTCTTGTTGTTGTTGTGAAATTTTGCTAATCTCCGAAAATTATTTTTTATCTCTGATTCATTTTTTTACGCAGTCGCTCTTGGAACTTGGGAAGAGGTCTCACAACTACGCACTAGTACTTTGATGTTCAGAGCTTACGAACATGCTTATAATTTATTGGAGCACCTCTATTGCCCTCTGTTCTATCATAGCGATATTGTGAGTAGTGTACTTTGTTTTAATATATTGAGAAAGGCGGTTGTGAACAGGGTCCCGAGTCTCCACTCGAGTTCAAAGTTCACCTCAATCACTGCCCACTGGCAGTTGGTCGAGTAAATGTCAATCATTTTCTAGTTAATTTGAGTCTTCCTATGGTACACAGTATTTCAGCAAAAAATTCATCGTTTCATTTTAATTGATGAAGAACATTTTTATTTTGTATCGCTCGGCTTCTTCTGTTTTGCTTGTCCATCAATCTCTCCAGCAAACTCGGTTTTCCCAAGCCATTATGTGGCCGATACCACAATTTTCATATACATATAAATAATTGAGAATTTTCTCTCTTGTTTTTTTAGTACTACCAGATGATATGTGGGATTAGGATGCCTGGCGTTGTGAAAACTCAAGTTGACAGGTATGAGTATCTGTAATATTAATGATATTGCAACTTCAATCTATATCGTGACTTCACTGTTATTACAGTCAACTTTGCAGACATTGCAGTATATTTTTACGTGTAATTTTTATTATCTGAAAACACGCCTCTAGTATTTCTTATGAAATAATCCCTCATTTTTCCATATTTCAGAGAAAATCAGAAACAATCTCAAGATCTTTTATCTGTAAAGCAACTTGGTCTTCGTTTGAAAGGAGCTTTTAAAGGATGTAAGTTTGCGGCATCTTGCGATCATCCATCCTGAAAACACTACTGGAGGCACCCCTCTGGAGGCTTTTAGCACTTATGGGCCCCCTGTTTATCATTCCAGTGGTGCCTCCTCGTTTATCATTCTAGTGTTATTATGATTGGTAGAATCCAAATCCCATTGTGTTTAAACAATTTATTCTCCACAAAGTGGAAACACGCTGTTACATAACCTTATCAAGCAATGAAAAATGGGTAGTCTTCTTGTAAAGAGAAAAGTAAAATCAGTTTTGCGCCTAGCATTATGGCCCCCTTGCAACTATGATCTGTGGGCCATTGGCCTCCTGTTGGTAATCGCTGCCTTATGATTTGGCTTTTATCTGTATGCATATAATAGTAGTATGCAGTAGTAATAATAATGATGACTATTCTATTTGATCCAAGAGTCTTTTTGAACACGTCTTGTTTAATTTATGGCAATTTATCATTTTACAAAATTTAAGTGAAAGAAGATTATGAATTATGATTATTCAGCTATTTGATCAAAGTGTTTCATCAGCTTATCTCTTTATTTTGATTTTGAAATACTTAGTTTATATGTTATTATAATAGTGTGTGTGTAAGTGACAAGCATTTTTATTAGATTCAAATTGCATTTTTGATTTTTTACCCTGTAAGATGGTGTCAAAATTGTACCTTTTACATTTTTTCAGCTGATACAAGCAGCCTTAACAGTGATTATGGGGAAATGGAACAGGATCCAGTAAGTTGTGATTTATATATATGTCTTGTCAATAAATACTTTTAACTTTTTTCTGTTATGGTCCATACCATGGTTTTCATAGTTGTCTTGATTGAGAGGATAGCCAATTAATTATACAGCTGTTTATCCGGTTACCAGTCCATGTCGAGTATGGGAATAGTTAACTAGTTATTTGTCATAAGTTTTTCTGGAGCCTAAATCATATTTCAAACTACCTGGAGCTGGAGCCCAATTTTTTGAATTTCCTCTAGTTTTACAGAAACTCAAATAAGTGTTCTTAACAGTCTATTAAAAGAAGGCTTGTGCGGTGTTCTTGAAGTGTGTGTATCAATATGGAGGTAACTAATTTTGTTAGCCTACTTTACATCGAGTTGTGTAAAGGGACTGAAGTCCATGGGCAGGGGGTATATTCACTTGGCTAACACAGACAGTCCCCGAACTTGTAATAGAACTAAAATAAGGAAAATCGAGATTAAATTATGGCCTAACCCTAACCGGGTACACACACTACAAGAGTACCTATAATATTTCTAAACCTGCAGTAAAGTCAAAATATTTCTGGATCATGGACCCTGTCTGACCCCAAATGTTTTTAATCTACCGTAAGTTCATGGTGTTAGCATAACCCAAGTTTAAGATGTGTGTATGTAATATTTAAATTACCTTTGTTCAGCTTATATCTTCCTGAGAATGCAAATATACCTCTTACATATAAAACCTGTTTTTTCACAGGAAAATGAAGATACTGATAGAACGTCCCTAATTGATATGGAAGAGGATGGAACGGGAAGACAAGACATTCTACTATCACGTGATCTCTCTACATGGAGAGTGACTGTCGAAAAAGTGGAACAGAGAAGAGAAGATGATGGAGACAAGTTTTATACTTTTGTCATCAGCATAAGAAGAATTAACATGCAAGCAGGTTAGTAGACACGGAGAACCCCTGTGTAATAGTTTAATTGTCTTTTATTGTCCGAATGGTATAACTTATAAATATATAAGAGCATACCTAATATTGGCAAAATAAAATAATATTTAAAGTGTAGCAAGTTAATAATAGTAGCAATATACATATATTGAATATAAACTCTAGGATTGGAACCCCTGAACTGTTCCGGTGCCCCAGTCCGTTAAGTCCAATTCCTAATAACTGCTACGCCATCACATCCTACTTAAAAACGAGCAGAAAAGTGATTGATTAATCATTGAGTGTTATATTCAATGTCTTTATTGCTTAACTCTGTCCAGATGCGGAACTACCACCAGACTGGCAGGTTTCGAGACGTTATACTGAATTTTACGTACTAGAGGGCAAACTTACTGAATTTCATGGATCGCTCGCACCTGCTAATCTACCACCTAAAAAGTTATTCGGACGATCAATGGAATTTCTCAAAGACAGATGTCCTCAATTTGAAAGTTTCTTAAAGGTATGATCCAACAAAATATTTGGAATACTTGTGGCCGATAGCGGAGTTTGGTACTGTATTGAAAATCATCTTAAGTTGCTTTGAAAAGATGAAATTAATTGAATTTTATTCCGTCATTTACCCCTTCTCAAATATAGACAGTAAATTTCCCCAATTTCTTGGGGGAAAAGAGTCATTCAGAGGAAGAATTGTGGATATAGATGCCTAAATTTAATTGTGTTAGATTCACATACCAACAGTTAAAACATGCAGCAATGCAAATATTTTTTATTTATACCAACGAACAGACAGTCTTTTCTGTAGTAAGTGAGCATAATAATATATATTGCGCAATAGAGGAAGTTGCAATCCCAACAATTTTACAATCTGCTATTTACCCAACAAAACTGATAGCAGAAATATATCGGATAACTTATTGATGTTGTAAATAAATATCTGGGCTTGCTAAGTTTACCCCAAGGGTTAAATTCACCCCCGTTTGAGATCCCTTGTTTTACACCTTTCAGGCATTGATATGTAGTAGAGAAAAATCTGGGTTCACACAATTTACCCCTTCACCCCTGTTTGAGACCCCCTGTTTTACACCTTTCAGGCATTGATATCGAAACCTGTGCTACGTCGTAGCGAACTCCTTTACGATTTTCTATCCCCTGATCATTCTGGTGCGCCATCTCGATTTGGCAGTAGGTTTCTTCCTGAAGTTCGACTCGGCCGATTTTTCAAGCGTGTTCCGAATAAAATTATTAAAGAGAAAGGACAACACTTAGACACGTTACTGCAGAGTTTAGTCGCTTCATGTGAACCATTGAAGCCTAAAGCAGGGTAAGAATTGTTATTTACTGGTATATCATCTCTTTGATCTCTGTGTTTATACTTAATTATATATTATCTATATAGAATTTGAGTTAATATGCGGCAAGAATACCCAATTGATGCTCACAAATATCAGCCTGAACAGAGTATATTCAATTTCTGAAAATAAGATTCAAATTGAGTCTATGACCCAAGTTTTCCCGGTAGATGTATGTGTGCTAAGCTATTCTTATGTTGCTACACACACAGTTGGATACAGCAGTTGAAATAAACATGGCCAGCATGCATAATTTTTGGTGGTAATATTCACAATCAGCCTTTGACTCCAGGTTGAAAGAAAAAAAATTGTTTGTTGGATAATTGATAAAAACTTTCTATAAATTGACTGTATGGAGCGCTTAGTCAATCTACTTTTAAATCTGTAGAAAATTTGGGTTCGATTGTCGCCAGATAAACTCTGAAAATCCAATTACTCAAAAGTTAACATTTCCAGCCATGTGAGCCACTGATACTTGTTACTGAAATTTTTTTTTACACATCTCATATCTGAATTCAAAAAAATGTTTTCAAAACCTTTTGTCAACTTCATGTTTTGCTTATTTAAGTTCCGTTATTGTTTAAATACGATATTGTATTTCAGAAAATATGAAATGCCAAGTGATGATCCTGTAGTTCTTATGGATCAAAAGGTATTTTTTAAATATTTATATTTATACATATGACTGCTAGAAATAAATAAAAAATAAATGATACGCCATCCAATTAATTTACCAAAACCAAAATTTATTTTAACTTTGTTTCAAGATCCACAATGAGATGTATGCTGATGGTGACTGGCGGATGGATCCATCTGAATTCTCTCTTCCGAAACCAGGGGTTCAGCCAGAGATTCCGCTTGATGGAGTATGTGACTATATTTTGTATTTATGTAAGTATTAATACAATAATGAAATGCTCAAAGATATAGAATAGATTTCAAATCGATCTTTGTGGTTAAAGCTGCTTAAAGACTATTAAATTCGAGCCCCACGGAATTCGAAATTTTGTTTTTTATTTGGATATTGCACTACTATGTTACTTAAAAATAAACCAGTCTGCCATATTTTCGACAACACCAATGCTCGCTTTCAACTGCGATAATAACGTTGCGCAAATTTACGAGGTGTCGTGATTAAATTTGGATTTGAATTATCAGATATTGGATATTAGTGTTAATCTCATATGTTACCATCTGTGCCGTACATAATGGCGGTGCTTTCTTGTTCATATTATTTATTATAGTAATACAATGAGCAATAAAGTGTCTTTAACTATTTTTATTGTCAATAATTTAAAAATTTTTTAATTCAGCTAAAAGAGTTTTCGAAGTTGATGATTGGGCTTTTCATCTCATGGTGGCGCTGAAGATGGTCGTGCACAATACTGTTGAACCTTTTGTTCGAAAGTATGTTCTGTGAATACTGAATTCTTTTTTATACTACTTTTCATACGCCTTACACTCTTAACAAGGCCCTGTATAAGCACTCGGAGATAGTGTGTCTACTCAATTAATAACACCCTGGGTCAGGTACCCTGGATTTGAACTTGAGAGTTTTAATCAAGTCCAATGCTTAACTTCAGATCGTTGTGTCGAAGAAGTTACAAATTTGTGAGGATTGCAGAAAAATTTGTCTAGTGGGAAATGATTATATTTTGAAATATTTAAAAATATAATTTGCTTACCTGTTCGAACTGTTCAGGTAATATTTTGGGTGAAAACATTTTTTTGGTGTTCAAATTTTCCTCAAATATTTTTAGTTTGATTCAAGGCAAAATCAACACTTATAAACAAGAGCATCATGTCATTGGTCTTATTCATACTTTTGAAGATTTATTGTTTAATGCTCCAGAACCAAGGTATGAAAATTATTTTTACAAATTCCCTTCTATATGATTAACTTTTCATTAAGATCTCTATACATGTTATTCAAAGAAAGTTACTTTACAATGAATATCATATTTTATTAAGGGTAACATACTAACATGATGAATTAATTTGAGTCACAATTTAAGATTTTTTCATATTTATCTGGGAGGAGAGGAAATTTGATAAAACAGCTTACGGTAATCGTCATAGGGCAAGCCATGGCCTCTACCCAATGCTTGCTGTATGTATGGTGTATCACAATATGGTGTATTACAACACATAAATAATAACTTATTCCATTCTGCATTCAGAACAGACAAGGATAAAATGGAAAGAAGAAATTCAACTTTTGCTGAATTAAAAGATTTCATTCCAAGTAAGTTTGGTAATGATTTTTTTACTCAGATTCCTTCGCATTTTGTTTGAATTTCTGATATCTTTCATTTAACAAATTGTGCAAATGCATCTCTGAATAAACATCGCAATAGATGAGTATTCAGGCCATTGATGCAGTCAGCAGGCTGCATAATCGTAATAGGTGTCGTCTATACTAATCCACAAGCGACATAAGTTTCGAAACTACAAATTAAATTATTTAAAATGCATGGTTTGGACAAAACAGTATAAATAACGAATGTAAATTGATAAGAACCGAATGCAAATTGTCGATTTTAATCATGTATTGCGCCTTGACCGTATTGTTTCAATTCCAGCCTGATCCATGTTAAGAATCATGGCTGTGCCCCGATTCTAAATAACGTGTTTACTGAGGTTTCAGAATTTTTCTCCTTTTGCCATTGTAAGAGGGGAAATCTAGCCACTATGATTCGGGATATGAATCCATCCATATTTTTACACAAACAGATCAGCTTACTCCTTACTTACCATTGCCGATGCAGCATTCTACAGTGATTTAACGAAGGATGGTTGTTTTGAAATCTCTTATTAGTCGTTGGATCTTCATGTTCATATCATTGATCATTAATTACTCTTTTGAATGCATTTTCAGAACATTTTGCGAATTTTGTCGGAAAGGAAAAACATGAAACTGGTTGTGATAAAGTCTTCAGTTTGTTACAGATGCCCAAATTAAATAAACAGGTAATCAATTATCACATACAATACAAATTGGTGAAACACTTCTATACCGGTCCTATTGCCAAATAAATTTGCTGTTGTAGTAGTACTGGTAAAATATTTTGTCTTGGCTGACCATTCTAGCTTATAACAGGATAGCATGTTAGCTTGGGAGATTCTCTAATTTGATTGTTTGATTATTCCATTGGCTGTCATTGGCATCATAAACCACATAACCAACAGGGTTATGGAGTCGTAGAAAAGTTCTACCAGACTGAAAGATCTTATTTCTGAATTCTTGGAAATGCGCCAACCACCCCACCAATGTGCCTAGTTATTGACGATCTGAACTTTGACCTCTAATTATATTTTCAGCTTGGATATCTTCTTCTTGATGCATTCTTGCTCGAATTATTTCCTGAGTTAGTAACTGATGACATTTCACCTTCAAAAAAATGATTATCACACACTGTAACACCACCATCAGAATACCTTGCTTACTTTCAAACATGTTTCAGGATTGCTGCACTACTTTGAAATTGGCTTTTATACTCCGGGTTTGGATTTGGATTATTCAGAATATTCATAGGAATTATTGTTTGTAAAAAATAATTGTAAGACTTGAATCCACTCGTTCATACTTTCTTCTCCAAAATTATGGGCTATTTTTGTCCAACTTATTTTCACATTGGTTGCTTCAATTTAGTCCCATTTTAACTCTAGTCCAGTAGTAGAACTTGAGTTTTTTTTGAAACTTTAAAATCTCATCTTTTCATTGGTAAGGCTTCTGCATTTATACGAGTCAAAGAAATAATCTACATTCATCACTATTTTGCTGTGCTTTATCGAAATATTTTGATTAGCCAAGAATAGTCAAACTAATACTAATGGATCTCATTGTGCTGTGTGAATGGTAGTAGTCACTAGTGACCCTCTCAATCAGCCAGTCCCAGTATGCAGTTGTCACCATCTATGCTTATGTTGTATTGGAAGTCTTTTCTGAAATATCGTACTGTGTTGTTTAGTTATTAATGAATTTAGGTATGTCCTGAATATTTAGAGTTTTTGTTTTGCTTTTACGTTATTGAGATTGCTATCATGTGCAATATATCACTGTCTATTTATGTTAAAATTTTATAAGTATATGTTGTTGGTTATGTTTGTATTAGAATAGTTATACAGATCGAAAAAAAGTTTATGGAAATGCATGTGTTTACTTTATTTAGCGGACTTCAAGGTTGGGTAGTTTAAGGTTGTGATTTGGTTTTAAAATATGCGCCCTAGTGTGTGTTTCGAAAAGCAAACGGGTAGATATGCTTGAGAGTCCGGCCTTGGGTCGCTGGAACCTATGCGACCGCATCAATCCGATGGCAGGCACTGATGCTAAGACTAATATATTTTTTGTCTCCTCGTGCGAGCTATGTCCCGAACGGTTCGTTTCACATAGCGCTGGGACGCTCTGTGTTTCTGTAGCTGTGATGTTTAACAAGCGGTATTCTGCGTAAAAAAAGCATTTTATCGTCGCCAAACCGTGATTTCGAAGTGCACCACCAGTGCTGTATCATGGCCTTTCGAGGCCCTAAGCACTTAATACTTTGATGCCCTATATATAAAATATAATAACAAGAATGCAACAAGTGTTCCGTGTTACCTAAAATTGGAAGTAAGTTTCAGTATTCATTACTGATTGAAGACCAAATTATGATTAATTTACATATTTTTTATAAAAGTATTTCTTATGCTTATGAACAATTTATAGCGATTTAAGATGATATTTGAGAGAGAAAAACAAGCAAAATTTATTCGAACCTGGCCAATATTGAGATCTGAATCGTCTGACCAATCATTTCATTAAACACTGAGACACTATAAAACTTGTCTATGAAAATTTCTGTGATCTCTCTTTTTCCTTGGTTCCCCAGTACGTGCCTGTTTTGCCTAATGGTTAATTCAGTCCTGTCTACAACATCTTTGCTTTATTATACGCCCACAAATCAGTCAGCATAATAAGCTAGACTAAATAAAGTTAGTGTCGCGTTGTAACCCAAACAGTAATGTTAAAAAGCGTCAGTAATGAAGGTTTTAAGTAGCATTTCATCTTAACTTCAATACTGTCAAAAAGCGTCAGTCGTTAGATGTTTAAATGCATTTCATGGTAACTTCAGTACTGTCGAAAAGCGTCAGTCGTTAAATGTTTAAATGGCATTTCATCATATCTTCGATACTGTAAAAATCGCTAGCAACACACCAATTGTACTTAGTTATTTTTTATGTCCTCACTTTAATATTATGAAGTTATCAGTATCCATACTTGTGTGGCGGACGCTACGACTGTCCGTACGTAAGTTTATTCTTGACACGGGCAAACTACGATCCGCGGGCCAAATCCGGTCGGATGGTTATTTTAATCTGGCCCGCTTGATGCTGCCACAATCAAACTAAAACCAAATTTTGGTCCCCCAGGGGGCACGGCAAAAACTAATAATTTATCATAAAGCGACTTCGATTACATACTTTCCTTTTAAAATAAAATTCTCCGATCAGGCGTTCACCGCAGTTTCATTGCCTGAATAGGTTATTTGCGATCGCATGGTGTATTCCAGGGGTTCCCAAACCAGGGGTCGCGACCCCAAATTGGTTCGGAGTGATAAGTAGGTGGGGTTGCAAACAGGTCATGGGGTCGGCGGGGTCGCTGAGGTATGGTAGAGGATGGATGTACAAAACATCTAAGATTTGACAAACCAAGTTAAATTTAGCAGTTAGTACCATGTCTTACTGTAAAACAGGACCATAGGCATCGCTCTATGCTTATTCTATAGAAAATGTAGGCGCTTGTTTGGTTTTAGCTTATTTTACTTAATACCACCACATGACCAAACTCAAAAGTCCAGTGAAACAAGCTCTAAAGTTCCATGAAAAAAAAAAAAATATATATATATTGACCTGGGGTCGCACTGGAAACTTGAAAGATGTATTTGGGGTCGTCCCAAAAAAAGCTTGGGAACCCCTGGTATTCACTTTCTTGTGCGTGAATTGTTTGATCACAATGGAATTTGAAATCTACCAATCAAAATATTTAGACGGTACCTGTAGAGTTGACGGACCGTTTCACTAGAGTGCGAGACAACCTTCGTTATCGTATTATTGACGCAAAAGCGCATTTGTAAATTCCTAATGCCCAAAATACAAAAATATACGACAGATACGTTGGCTTTGGCTTTAGCAAGAAAGCCTTTCAATGCTAGTTCAATTTGCCGCGACTTATCTGTGCGAATCTGGTTCTTCTGATCTTGTTATACGATCAAAACAAAATCTAGAAATCGTCTTGATGTTGGCAATGACATTCGTCTGGCTATATCAAAAACGGAGTCTAGTATAAGAAACCTCGTCAGACCAATGACATTCAGTCCCAAGCGCGAGATTCCCATTGATTGTATACTAAAAAGCTTTTAGTTTCCTGTCTGGGGTTTGCTTTTGCGTTTCATAAAAGGTCGTAAAAACATAATACAATCCAACACGTTTAGTTTTTTGGAATGGCGAACAGGGAGGCCGCGAGTGCAAAACGGCGCCGGAAGGGGGCCACGAGCCATAAAAAGTTGAGAACCACTGCTCTATGCTATAGCATGGACAGTTTTCAATCGAGGACTTTTGACTTTCTAAGGGGGCCACAGAGCAGTAAGAAGAGGGCCACAATACTAGGAGGTAGGAGCATACTGATTATTAGTTTTTCTTTACAAAAAAACTCATTCTTCCCATTTTAGTTGCTTGATAAGATTATTTCCCAGGGTGTTTACTCGTAGCTGAGCATGAATTGTTTGAACACAACATGATTTGAAATCTGCCAATTCTATAAATTTTACTAGAATGATAGATAAGGGGGCATGATTGCTAAAAGCTTCAGGAAGGGGGCCACGAGCGACGAAAGGTTGGAAACGACTGTATTAGACTCTATACTATTATCATGACTATTACTTCGTATAAATTTGATGAAGGATATAGTTTGATATTTATATCATCTCCGGATCGGAAATTGTTGATTAATATAACGTTATAACTTCTCATACAGGTAATAACGACATAAAACCATGGCAAGGCAAGAGACGTCGCGGCTTGTTCATGGTAGGAGCCGCTATGTAGTAGTAAGATCTGCGCATCGATTTCCGAGGAATGATTTGTTCTTGTAACAGCTATCATCGTTTACAACTAATAGTAAATGCTTTTAACTTGATGCGTCTGATTTTGAAGACATATTCTAATCGTTTCGCAAAAGAATAATTATGTCTCGCTTTTCTAGATAAAAATGCATGACTCAGATATAAGAAAAGCTTATATTGCTTGTTTCATACCTGTTGAGTGTTTTTTATTATAAATAAACCCGGTAGAAATCACTCGCCATTGCGTACAACTGTGTGAGTTCTTCATCAAACTGACTAATCACTGCGACGAAGTATCTCTATGAAAATACGTCGCGTGTAACGTTGATATATTTGTCTACACAGTGAGTAATCGATTCCAAAACAAAACTAAAAACATAGATGACACAACAATATTGACGTTAATATAAAACCAACTACTTACTATACATATAGTGACACATGTTGGCATCAGCTTTACTAATCAAATGCATCAACTCGTGTTCGGAATGATTAATTAATAATTAGTATTCTAAAATACAAGATAAGCTTTGTTCCAATCACATGAGTAACAAACATCACTCACGACAAGCCGAACGTATTGTTTATTAAATGATTTATACATGTCGTGTACATTTTATGAAGCAATCACGCACATGCATCAAAGCATTACGAGACCAAGTCGTAATATAGCAAGTTAACACCCGTTTCAAAATCGATATTCATCGCTTGAGAAGATTCAGTTAAGAGAACTGATCGACCTGTCAAAATGTCTACAGCCGAAACGGGATTCTACTCTGAAATTCCAGATAATCCGAGTAAAAGTAACGCTTTGCCAGCGAATGACAGTATTTATGAAACGCCATGCGTTCAACAGAAAAAGCTCAAAGGTATTTTGACTTTTAGTTTATAACGGGTATCATTCGTTTCCAACGTAGCTGCTTTTTCAACTAATGGAAAAATACCATTATTCCATGTCACATTTGCCTTGTGAAAAATTTATCACGAATCATGAAATTTTCTGGAAATCTAGACATAATTGACTTCATTACAAAATCCTGTGAACATTCGGTTGACGTTTGAATTCTGATATCATTTCAGATACTAAAGACACAACAGTAAGGGGAGGACTGATTGCTCTGGCAATATTTTTAGCAATGGTTATTGGACTTGTTGTTTTTGGTTTTGTGATTATCATACAGGTTAGAAAAATGATTATTCTATCAATATTGTACCCAAAAGTCTTTAGAATCTATTTTATCAACAGCGTAACAAGCGAATTTTGTCAAAACATTCAGAATTCACAATACATAACGAGTCGATAACAAAACCTTAGAACATTTAAAACGTCACAGAAGGGCTTGCCGTCTATCCTGTTCTATTTTGAATAAACGACAAAGCTATTTACCCAAAACCCATACGCCAAAAATATTTAATTAATGAAACTACGAATCAAATATTCTTTCTTCCCGAATGTTGTGCGAAATTGTGTATAAACAATGGGGTTGACTTTAAAAATGCACTAATGGATATAAACTTTCGAGAACTTATTTAAGAAAATCCTCAAAAAAAAAAAACTTTCGACATGAATAGACCTAATTTATTGTCTTTATGGAAGTGATTCTGGATTAACCGACAATTATTGCCTCGAATCCATTGTAGGTAGCGAGTTAAATAATTCAATGCTCTTAAGAATTATTCTTATACTGAACTGAATTTCGGTGATTTAAAAACCGAAACAATACAATTTCTCTGATTCCTGAAACTACGTACGAACACTAAAAACAATTTGATTATATCAACAGCTCCAGAGTGAGATGAGAATTATGAAAGAGCAACTGGAACATCAAGAAAACCAATCATTTGCTAGGTTGAAATCGCTAGAAGAAAATGGTAATGTTGAGATAATAAACATTGGTTACAAGAAAAATAACAAACTACGGCCTCGAAAATAAATTCGTTCACGATGTGATCAGGGTTGTTATTGTGGATAGTTTTGTTAGCGATCGCTATCCCAGTAACAAACAGCACGATGTCTTATATTCTATAATCCTAATATAGTCCAGATACATGTATATGTTATCAATCGTATATATGTTCTATTCTACATCTGAAGATAGTCATTACTTATCGATTTTAATCGGTAAGTATGTTGATAGGTATTTGTCTGTCTGTTTGTTTGTCTGTCTGTCTGTTAGATGCATGCGATATCTCACGAAAGCGAGATTGAATCTGCTCCAGATTTTGGATGCGCATTCATCATATGTCGTACCAGAAGCCTATTGATTTTGGATGAATTATGTAGTATAATTAGCGAGTTATTAATTAATTAGTGATGGGACACAAGGTGTCACTATGGAGTAAGAGCGCTGTTCTGGGATCCCCTAACTTTCGATCGATAAGTCTTCGATCTCTGACCGATATTCTCGTTATTTGATTGGCGTTGCGTATAGTCAGTAATATTTGCTTACATGATCAGACAAAGAGTAAATCTACATTGCAGGTCAATGAACGACATACTTGTACTTTTTACAGCCTCACAAATTATTTACTCAAACCTTGATGAACAGCAAATCCAAATAAACCAATCGGTTGAAGATATTTCAAGTTTAAATATTTTTTATGAAAATCTGGCGATGAGAGTGATACAAGGTAGGGTATAATATTGAATCGAAGCTTTTTCACAATGTTAACTGTAGATTGAGTTCCTATTATCGTACAAAAATTAATCTAATTTTCACGCATGATAGTTCAAAGCAAAAGTCTTCATTTAATAGTGTTTATGTCTTCCCATGCTTTTTCATTATTTGACGCTCCTGAAGTAGGAGTACCAATTTGGAGGTAACTAATTTTGTCCGCCTATTTTACATCAATTTGGGTAAAGGGACTGAAACCACGGACAGGGGGTATATTCACTTGGCTAACACAGACAGTCCCCAACTCGTAATAGAACTAATACAAGGAAAATCGGAATAAAATTATGGCCTAACCCTAACTGAGTACGCGTATTTCGTTTCGCGTATTTTATTTCCAACGAAAACTGAATCACTGCTACAATGTGACGAAATATTGCAACTATTTTACAGACTCAGAGGAAGTTAATTCCAAACTTACTGAAGTGCAGATCAGTCTAATTCAATCTATTGACGATATATCGAGCGTGAATCGTTCTCAACAACAATTGATGAAATTAGTTATTCAAGGTAGGTTAATGAATCAAAATTACCCAACGTATAATAAATTACAATAATCGGTATCACTGCTGTGACGTACAGAGATGGCCAATTCGAATTTAATATATTTCGAATATCGCGACCTTCCTATATCATATCGTTTTTTGTGTTCATAAGAATACCGAATATCGCGCACACATTTTAGCGTCGCCGTCCACGTTTTGATTGAAATCATTTTACGATTCCTTTTTTTTCCCATCGTAATCGAAGACAGACTTGTGCCGTCCGGCAATAAATTACAATCGACATGTAAGGATTTCAATAAGCGCCGACAAGAAGTGCTTACAATACGTCGGGGATGTTTTTAATTGAAAATATTTTACTATTATTATCGTATATTCCAACTTAGTCGAGAAAGTTCGTGCAAACTGTGTCGGAATTATTCTTCACTTTCGATAGTGACTGAACATAACGGAAAATTTTTCATTCCTTTGCATTTACAGCGTATTAAATAACTCTTAAATTTTATTTAGTATCGCGTATCTTACGTCATCCAGACGCCGCTGATGATATTATATAGTTCAGTTTAAGTTGGCGGTATTAATTTATAAGCACAAATAAAAGCATAACGACGGTCATGAAAGATTTTTAAATCAGCGCTGAGTCGACGAACTAAACCAGATTTCGGACTTACTTCTTGTCATTGGCGGATGGAAATTTGGGAATCGGGTTCACTTACCGTATTTCCCGGCGAATAAGTCTACCCGGTAAATAAGACGAGGCCCGCTTTTAAGCCTGAAAAATGAGTTTTTGGATATAACCTGCCAAAAAGGCGGGGTAGTAAAATCGCATCAACATCGGAATCTCAAATTACAAGCCAAGGCTTTTGAGCGGTCGCCGCGTTTGCGCATTGGTTAAAATAGCCTATAATGACTTTTTCTTGGAGTGGAATTCAAACTGTCTTTCAATGCGTCCACCATATAAGAACATTACCCATCTAAAATAACAATGCCGATTTATTTAAACTAACCTGATGATTACGTGGGGGATGCTATCGCCGAAGGTATTTTATGGTCCGCATTGAATAAAAAGGCGACAAAAAAATGTAAATTATCATACTCGCCTAAAAGTACGACCCCCCCCCCCCCCCCGGGGCAAAAAAAAAAATCGGGCCAAAAATTTGGGTCTAGAAAAGCGACTTATTTGCCGGGAAATACAGTATTTGGTTAAAACGATGATCTCTTAATAACATCGGAGATACGAGCCAAACAAAATTTAAAACCCGTGCGTAAGTCATACAAATGATTCTTGTGTAGAGGGATAATTATGGCGGAATTTAGCTCAACGATGCCGGCGGACGAAATAACACTCACGCTGACGATAAACAGTTGGAATTTATAACAAAAAGTAAGCGTGTCAAAAAGTGTATGCTGTTAAGAACTGTGATTTTTCATTATAATATAAACCATTTTACTGGTCGCATAGTTGCTCTTTTCTTAGATCAAGAAAACTACTAATTTCAATCTTATCACACATTCCTTTTGTATTTATAGCTGCTTTGAGTTGATAATATTATTAAGCTTTAATTCCTATGCCCTATTATTAAACTTAATTCCTGTGTCAATTGATTTTAGAAAAGTGAATAAAATATTTGCGGTATTTTAGAATGTATTCGGAATTCCACATTTGAAAATATTTTTCGAAATAGTCACGTATACACGGTTATGACCATCCCTGGTGATGTAATACTACGATCTTGTTTCAGACTCAGAGGCATTCAACTCCAAATTTGATGAACAGCAGATCCAATTAAATCAATGTATTGACGATGTGTCAAGCCTGAATAGTTCCCACCAACAATTCATGAAATCAGTTATACAAGGTAATATAAGCATTGAATCCGTGAGTTTTTTAAAATATATTACACTAAATACGAATGGTGCATATATGGTAGTTAATAAGTTACATGTTTGCTTCATCGCGTTAACACCTTTACAATGCACAACTATTTTTCAATCTGTAACTCCAATTTCAAAATTCGGTAAAATTCGACATTGTGACATTTTTGAAGCTGTATATATCTTCTAGATCAGGGTTTTTCAGACTCCCGTGTAGAGATTGACTGGTATTTACGGAGCCTTACAATAAATTTACAAAAATAAAAATACAATGTTACTTAGCAATTAAAATTCCCGAGTAAAACAAAATCACTTTATTCAATGACTTAGATGTATATGCATTTTATTCAATCAAAAAATACACTTGACAAACATATTGCCAAATTATAGTGTCGAAATGTGGCAACAAGGCGGTAATTCAAATATGACATTATCTATTCTAGATAATGTCATATTTGAATAACCGCCCTGTTGCCACATTTCTAAGCTATCGTTGTCAATTTATTAATAATGCCGATATTTTTTCTTTGGACATCCAAGTCAGTATTTTAATTAGTGAACGAATATCTCTCTGGGTTTCGCTCATCGATACCTTGGTCTCCACATGGAGCACTTTGAGAGCCTATGTTCTCTACCACAGGTTCTCCGAAGAATTGTAAAACTGTAAATCGTGAATATGCGAAAATTAGTAACACCACCGGTGGAGTCTTTGATATATATCCGGAACTAGGAGACAAACCGGTCGAGGTTTACTGCGATCTTGTGACTGACGGAGGCGGATGGATCGTAAGTTATATTTATCTAACTTTTTTTTATAATTTCTCTCACAAGGCAAAACAATTATTTTTTTTCATTTAAAGCACTTTGTTGAAATTCCGAAAACTTTTAGATGGAGATAAATCGTCAAGTTGTGTGACCATTTTAATATAATATTAATATAATATGAAAATAAATTCATTGATAACTGATGCTGATAATCAAAATTGCAACATAATTTGTTATGTATCCAAGGTCTTTCAAAGACGAATGGATGGAACAGAAGATTTCTACAGAGGGTGGAACGACTATGTTGAGGGATTTGGGGAAAAAGATAAAGAAATGTGGTTAGGTGGGTGTGCTTCCAGTGAGGAGGCTGTTATCATGTCACTCAAAATTAGGTCTGGGCATTTCGAATCGATTAGTAAATTATTCGAATCGGTGCAGAGCAATATTTCAAATCGTCGCCATCTTGTTTTTTCTTTCGCCAATGGTCAAGGTGAAATTTTTTAATAAAAGCCATAATTTTTCAATGCAATTCTGAAATATAACTTTTTTCTGTAGTGAGTTATTGATGAAAACGTGTTTTTTATTGTGTGTGAATGCTAATCAATCTGTCTAAGTGATGTATGTAAGTTGTCAGTAATTTATGTGCCTGGGGGCCTAACACAATAAGAAAGTCACATAGGCTACAATTTTATATCTCCAGAAGTATTTCGCGATCAAAATGCACAGCCAGAAAATATTTGATTCGATTCTGAAATCATCAGATATTCGAAAATGCCCAGCCCTACCAAAATGTACAATGTAACATATCAACAAATTATTCTTCATTTTGTCCATAGATAGCCAAGCCAACTAATTACACAAACGATGATCGAAATTTCCGTACTAAATTATTCTTTGCATTTATCTATTATTCATAGGAAAAGCTGAAATGATGTGAAATAGAAACCCGGTAAAAACACTGCTTTCTCATTGGAGAAATCGATATTAACTAGAAAATTGAACATCAATACCTGTAAATGTCGACTTCGAGTAAGACATGCCTCTGATTGGTGAGATCCAAATGCGCGACATCCTATATTCAAGCAACTAAGATAGAAGAAGACATGGTTAAAAAATTCACATACGCAGGGAAAGCTTCAACCAAGTTGCTTTTGTTGGTTTAATGGCAATATACGGACAGCGACCAGTGACTTGAACCATGGCCGCTACGTCGTAGTTTGAGTACGAAAGATCGACTTTCGGAAATATGTTTCGTGGGGTGGTCATTCCTCATATAGAAACAAAACACTATATATAAGTTTATAAGTTTACAATTCTCCCAGCTACAAATATTGCAGACTTCAATGTAACGTGTATTTTAGTTAACTTGTGCAGACAATCTCGCAAAACTTCGGATTTTTTTTGTTGGAGTGGGGGGACGAGGAGATTCAGGGGGGGGGGGGGGTATGAAGTTAGTTCGCATGCTTATCAGTATATTAAACACCTTTAAATTTATTTTCAACACGTCTTTATATATATGTTTTCAATATACACAATACACAATGCAACCAGTAATGAAACTGTTTACATTCTCCATATACAGGCCTGGAAACAATCCATCAACTAACCAAAGACGGAAGTTTCGAACTAAGGATAAATTTGGAAGATTTCAATGGAACCTCTTCTTATGCAAATTACGGGTATATATAAGATATTAATAATAAAAACCATTATGAAGAGACAATGATTACATATGACTATTAAAATAAGGGTACTCCGGTAGTATGTGTACCAGGTTAGGGTTAAGCCATATTTTAATCCGAATTTTCTTATTTTAGTTCTATTACGAGGATTGTTTGTGTTAGCCAAGTGAATATACCCCCACAGGCTTCCGACCCTTTACACAACTTCATGTAAAGTAGGCGGAAAGAATGAGTTACCACCATATTGGTACACACATTTCTAGAGAGCCAAAACAAGAAGTACCATTATTCCCATTTATAACGATATAAGCCATTGATCCACTACTGTGATATTTGCCGTTTATTTATTCTATGATAATATTCACCTATTGGAAGTTGAAGGTTCCTCTACTTTCACAGAATTACGGATATTGTTTGTGATGTCCCGAAATATGTGAATACAGCTGTTCTAAACGAATATCTTATTCATACATACACTTGGAATTGAAAAGCGACTCAACGCAAAAACGTTTATTCTTATTACCGATATAGATTTCAATCGAAATATTTTGATGAAATGCCAGCAGAATTATCAAATAGGATTTGATACTCCTTTTTCAGAAATTTCTCCATTGCATCTGTAAGCGAAAACTATACATTGTTAGTTGGAGAGTATAATGGAACATCCGGAGATTCACTAGCGCCTCATAATAGTATGCGGTTTTCTACAAAAGATTCTGATAATGAAGGGTGGTTATCGCGCAGCTGTGCGGAAGAGCTCAGAGGAGGTTGGTGGTACAATGATTGTCATCACTCAAATTTGAACGGCGTCTACTATCAAGATGGGAGGAACGATACTAAATCGGTTAATTGGTTTGGCTTCAGAAAATATCAAGCCCTGAGGTTTACAGAAATGATGTTCAGAAAAAATAAATAATCAAACTTAAATAATCATTGAGGAATACGAAAATTTCAATTTGCTATTTCATTGTAATATATATTCGAATAACAAAAATTTATCGATCCTTTTGAAAAATCCAGTCACTCAAAAGGCCATGATTTCATGTTAAAAATTCTTTTTCTTTGTTTATCTACTTACAAAGTAATGAGATTCAGCATTATTTTTCCATGACTGCTTATTTGATCACTCTTCAAACGTTTATTGGAGTTGTTTTGACTATACTGTAATGAAGATTGTAGTTTACATTTTTCACTGCATGCCCTATTGTAAGAGAGTTTATTTGTTATATTATATCTGATTACTATATTTCGTAAACAATTAAAGTTTCTTGCAGTCAGTTTACACCTTCATTCATGGTTTCAAGATTCATTTTTAGTTTCGAAATCTTTCTCCTATCATCATTAAATTTTAAATGTTTGTAAGTTTCCTTTTCTTACTTTTATTCCTTACTTTTAAGTTGATTTTAATTTTATAATATTATTCATTGATGAACAACATGTATTATTTGGAGGGACACCGATAAATGAATCCGTTCTTAAATATTGTCGTTGTGTGTGCGATTGTTCTTTGAACAAAATTTTTTTTACATCACAACTGGTGACTAGGGCTGGGCATTTTTGAATACCTGATGATTTCAGAATCAAATCAAACATTTTTTTTGAATAGAATCTCGAATACTTGGAAGATATATAATTGTATGTAACTTTCTTTCTATTGGGTCCCCCAGACACATAAATCACTGGAAACGTAAAATATATCACTCAGACAGAATGCTGAGCGTTCACACACAATAAAAAACACGTTTTCATCAATAACTCAATACAGAAAAACTCATATGTAAAAATTTCGTTGAAAAAATATTGCTTCAATGAAAAAAATTGAGAAATTTACCTCGACCATTGGAGGAAAAGAAAAAAAACAAGATGGCGGTGATTCGAAATTTCGCTCTGAACCGATTCGAAAAATTTACTAATGATTTACCCTACTGATGACCCATTTTTAACTTTTGAAGAGTATCTTACTTTAATTTGGGTATTCTTATCTTAAACTGGAGGTTTTGAGTACTGTTATTCCACTGATTAGATGACATGTTCAGCACAAAAACGTTGCAATTGTTTCAAAGTCCCCCTTCTCGAGAATCCCACTAGTATAATTAAGAATAAACAGAATTTAATACCTGACGCTTTACCGAAAAAAAAAAAACGCACGGTAAACACTATCCTGTTCAGGGCCCGATCATGCCTTTTGCCGTTTTAAAGACACTAATCACTTTTGGTGTCCTATGTATAAGAAGTAATAATAACATACAGTATATTAATGAAACTAGTGTTCCATGTTATCTGAAATTAAATATGCAGTTTCAGAATTCAATACTGATTTTGGGTCAAATTTAGGTTAATTTGCAGGCTATTTTTTGAAAATAGTTCTCATTTCTATAAACATTTATAGAGAATTAAGATGATAGCCTACTTAAGAAAGAAAAACAAGCCAAATTTATTTTGACCGGAACAATATTGAACTCTGAGTCGTCAGACCAACACTAATTATTTTACACTGGAGGGCCATTGAAAACTCGATTATGGAAATTTTTGTGATGCCCCCTTCCCTTGGTGCCCTAAGAACGTGATTATTTTGCTCAATGGTAAATCATCCCTGTGAATCGTGTTATATTTCGCGATCAAAATGCACAGCCAGAAAATAACGTGCCGGTAACTATTGTTCATGTCGTTAACGAGGATGGATTACGATGCATTGGTCTGGTGGGTTTCCTTTTAAAAACGTTCTGGTTACTATCAAGTTTAAATAAAATTAGTCAACACACTTGGACTGCCAGCATTACGATTTCAAAGAGGCTTTTACATACCTCTCCGGTTTACCAGCATTACGATTTTAACAAGTTTGTTTAGGTTAGAAATAGTTACAATTTCGTTTCTGGTTATGCTACCGGTATTGAATCAAGATACTGTACTATGAAGGTTTTTACGTACCTCTTCGGTAACGGATGGGTAATTTCCAAGAACTCGAATTCACGAGACAACTTGAGAATTGAATCAAGCGGAAAGAAGAAAAATTAACCTCCTTGCCGAATTTTTGCGCTTTGTCTTCTTATCACTTGGCGAGATTGTTAAACTTTATATCGGCATTTGTTTCCACGCACATTTGGTTATGTTTGAGTGAATTTGTTTCTATATAATACTTTTTGTATCGCAGTTGAGTATCTACCTATTTGCAGTTAACTATTTCACGAAACTTCATAACGGTACTGTTAGTAAATATTCGTAACCTAATGTAATTTTATACTGCGAGCTGATCTGGTGATATCCCCAGGCTAAAAATAATGTGCTCAAACCAGAAAGATGTGAAAAGCGACGGAGATATAGGTTCAAGTTTAAAGTAAAGAATCAAAATTATTTAGAAACTTATTTTTTGAAATTTCTCACACAATGTACAAAGTTGTATTCATCGCGAGAGAGAGGGAGAGAGTGTGTGTGTGTGGAATGGGAAGACAGGGGCATGCTTGAGCTAAGGTATTTTTGTTTTGGAAACTCACTTTACTCGAGTGGTCCAATGTACTGTACCCAGTGGTCTTGGATTTGCGAGTTGACTAATCGTCAATAATTATTCTAGCAATGAGACTGCAATTGAAAGCTAAAATCTGAAACAGAAACGCATTGTTAATTACATCGCTGCACCGACCATTACAGCACGAGTCGACTAAATCAGGCAATTTTATTTTAGTAAATTTCTGGACGAGTATGTCAAAAACCGTCGGCAGTAGTTATATTTGAATATTGATAACTGTCCATTGTTGACCAATTGTTTTTTCATATTTCCAGTAAAAAATAATTGTTAAAATAATAAATAACCATGGCGGAGAACTCTGGTTACGTGAACGATGAAACACAAGTTACGTCTTTCACTAATGAGAAAAACACTAACGGCACGGAAAAGAAAAAAGACAATGCTTACGAAAATGACGAGGTTGGAAGTGGAACTGACGTTCAAGTGGACATCTCAGAACAAAACCACACTGGTCCTTATGCTGGTATATATAATATGAGTTCTTAACTTTGCATGTTTTTCTTTCTGCACTATTTGTCTTACTTGTATAGCAGTATAGGCATGGTTTCAATCCAATCCTTTCAGATACTGTAATATAACATTACTAGAATATACGATAGGTGTAATAACAATATATAACACTCAGTATTATTTTAAAATTTTCATTTGTTGCAAAGTTCACACAATCGAATTGACTTATTCCTAGAAACAGAGAATATGAGAATACAAACTATAACCTTATTATATGATGTATACGCTTTGGCTGCATCTCCGATACACCGATGAAGTTTTTGGTATACCTGCAGAACGGGAATTTACAACCGTCGATTAATTAACTTCCCCGTCGGCATTAACTTAATATTTCTTTTCCAAACGATATTTTTAACCGACTTCATCTATGTAGAGCTTGTCATGTCATTTGCCACTTACGATTTACCTATGGGAAAGTTTCATTTTTCCATCGACCCTTTTGATGTTGTCATGAGCGAACATTTATTATATTTTTTTATTTACATAGGAATGCCAAAAGAAGTTCTTTTGAAATACTCGCGGCAAAAAAGATTTCTTTGGGCTCGACACATTTTAACAGGAATGGTCATTCTGATTATCTTCATCTTGCTGGCTTTGGTGATCACAATTATCGCCATATCGCCCCCGTGTTTACAGTTTTGGCAAACAAGTCCGATTTATCACATCTACCCCAAGTCATTCAGAAGTGCTGATGACAGTAACGGCAATGGAGATTTTAAAGGTGAGTTGAGTATACTATGTATATAATCTATTGGAGACCATCAATGTAATGTACTCGTTAAGATTGCATGTCTTGTGTGAGATGTTTTTGAAATCGAACATGCTTCTCATGTAACAGACTCATTTGCTATGTACCGAGCGCCCCCTTCTACAAACGGGTATATCTTGCTTTGAGCTTCTTTAATTATTGGAATTTGAAATTAATTTGCCAAATATGCTTGCTAATAAATTCAATTTCGTAATTTACCTAACTTTTTTAAAAATCCTTTATGACGTCAGTGAAAACAATATGGCCTCACAATGCAATCCCCAATCTTCATTATGACTAGGGATGGCGGAATTGATTCTCTGCATTGGAGTCGATTCTTAAGGTTAAAATTTGGATTGCAAACTATGTGTAACGTTTTATGGCAAGTTCTATAGCATAAATGATTGTTAGATGAATGTAATGTTACCATATATTGCTATTTCGTAGATTGTCTCTGACTTGCAAGTCACCCGTACACCCTTCAGCTTCAACGCCCGCGTGAATGAAGGAAACTTTAGAAAACTCTGTTTGATTTTATTCTCAGATTTCCACGATACACAGAATATAAATCTTATAACATTTATCCAGACTAGCTTAGAATAGTTTACATCGTCTTCCCCTCTCGAAAGATATCGGAGTCGTATTTATACGCCGATCATAAATCTAATTAAATACTGTAAACGTGAGCTCGTGATTCACGTTATAAACAGAAATTCCTATTATCTCAACAAGGGTAATTATGTACATCGTACGGATGGGAACTTAGATATAATTATTTCAATCAGTGCCAAAGGTCTTGAGAATATAAATTTTAATTTAATAATGACTGGGTGGAACCTGTTATGTTCTTAAAACTGGTGTAATTTGATTCCTACGAAAGTCTTTGTTCGAATTTTGGGAAAAATTAACTTTGTTTTCATATTTTTAACATGAAATGGGGTACATTTGGGGGTTAGTTGCTATATTATCTCCCCATCTTACTAACTGGAAGTTTAAAGATTTGGCACCTCTAATAAATTGAAAATGTATAGAAAAATACAATACACAATGCTAAAATTAAGGATATAAGTCAAAAAAAAAATATTTACATGTATATGATCTACAATGAGACACGACATTGAAATAAAGAAGAGTTTATAGAAAGAGTAAAGATTGTAAAGTAGAATTACAGAAGGATGGCGTATTTTGATTTGGAAAATTTTGGTTTGGACGGTTAAAACATATTTTCAATTTAATGTATTTCGCTAAGTTAAAATACTTATACTCGCTTTATCGCATTGTTACGATTTTGTAGACCTAGTTGGTCAATATATGCTTGTCCCATGTCGGGATGAAAAAACGTATTTTTAAGTTTACGCCATCTCAGGGCTTTTTTGAAAAAATAACGCTTTTGGATACAATTTTTGTTTAACGAGCTTATTATTTCACCGTTCTATATGACGGCTTTGTAAATAATTAAAAGTATGACTCGCTCGAATCTACTTTTAGAGAGCATTTTAATTCCAACGAAATCTATTTAATCGAAAAGGAATTCTAACCACAAATATTCAATAATATAAATCTCTTGAAAGGTATTTGAAATTAGATTATTCAAAGTTGTTACCATTAATTAATTTATAAAAATTGAAAGCCGAATGAAACGCCATAAGAAAAAGAAGTACTTTACCTTAGTAATAGTAGAAGAATGAAAAATGTCTGTCTCAATGAGGAGAAAAACCTGCAAATCATGAAACTAATTGTAGATTAACATGATCCTGATTTGTATATCCATTAGGTACGCGCGACAATTCCTCTCTCTATTATTCGGAATAGAGCGCGTAATTTACCGTGAAACAGTCCATATAGTTCATTGTTTTCAACAGTTCGTTTTTTGATTAGGTTTTTCACTTTGAACATATATCATGTTCTAAAAGAGTTCATTTCGATCGATGTTCAATACAGTCCATATTCATGATTTTAACGTTTCCAGAGTCCGTTACCATAGTTCAACTGTTTTCAATTGAGATTATTGTCTTTCCATAATGTTTTTGATTATTTCGGCTTGTCAGCAATTTGCTACTTCAATCGTTGTTCCAGGCAATTTAAATCTTCCCGACGTTCGTAAGTTGGTCGAATTTAATTTTTGCACGTTTTGTAGAGACGGTTTCTCGGCAATTGTTGAAAGCTTCAGCTTGGTCAGCTTTTTGGTTGATTCCGTCAAATTGCTGCCAGTCCTGATTGTTGTCCGTACTTGTGGTTGAACCCTGTTGATCTGCTCCGTTTCAGAAGGTTAATTCAAGTCGGTTTTGTCACCATTTATAGCATAAATGATTGTTAGATGAATGTAATGTTACCATATATTGCTATTTCGTAGATTGTCTCTGACTTGCAAGTCACCCGTACACCCTTCAGCTTCAACGCCCGCGTGAATGAAGGAAACTTTAGAAAACTCTGTTTGATTTTATTCTCAGATTTCCACGATACACAGAATATAAATCTTATAACATTTATCCAGACTAGCTTAGAATAGTTTACATCGTCTTCCCCTCTCGAAAGATATCGGAGTCGTATTTATACGCCGATCATAAATCTAATTAAATACTGTAAACGTGAGCTCGTGATTCACGTTATAAACAGAAATTCCTATTATCTCAACAAGGGTAATTATGTACATCGTACGGATGGGAACTTAGATATAATTATTTCAATCAGTGCCAAAGGTCTTGAGAATATAAATTTTAATTTAATAATGACTGGGTGGAACCTGTTATGTTCTTAAAACTGGTGTAATTTGATTCCTACGAAAGTCTTTGTTCGAATTTTGGGAAAAATTAACTTTGTTTTCATATTTTTAACATGAAATGGGGTACATTTGGGGGTTAGTTGCTATAGTTCTTCATATATATATATATATATATATAAACTGCTTTACTGCTATGCTGAGTTGATGCGACGTCGCAAACGTCACTATATATGAATATATATATGTATTTATCACTAGAAGGCTTTTACGTTTATTTCTTTCAAAAGTCTCTGTGGGTTCCGAGGGATTCGTTTTTTTTGTGCGATTTTGTCTACAGTAACAGATTGAATACCCATACTACTTAGTTTTGGCCTTCTTGTCCTTCCACATATTTGAACATAGACCTCGTGTTTGATTTCATATAGCATTAAGTGGGTATGTTTTCTCGGGAAGATATGTCGAGGAATCTAGATTCGGAATCGAAAATTACGGATTCGGATAAGAATCGAATACTTGTAAGTAGTCATACTTAGCATCCTCAATTATGACACCACAGTGGATATTCCTGTTAGGTAACGAACAAAATAGCTATCGTATCGGCAAATAGTTGTGCTGTATATCTACCTATTCCTACGCCTGATTGTATTCATTAATCGTATCGTTTGATGCATTTTTATTCTTGAAAAAATATCCAGATTGTCTATAGTGCTGGAAGTCACCAGAATATAATCTAAACCTTCGATTTAACGTTTGTTCATTCAATCTATCCGCAGGTATCATCGAAAAGTTGGATTATGTTCAAACTGATCTTGGCATAAATTTTATTGCTGTCAGTTCTGTTTACGAATCTCCCCAATTTGACAACGGATACGACGTTTCTGACTTCAAAAATGTTGATTCAATTTTTGGAACAATGAAAGATATGGAAAGCTTCATCGTGGAAGTTCATGACAGAGGTGAGGGAGGAAGAAGAATATATTCTCCGAGCGTGTTAAAATTGCGGTTTTACAAGGCGGTTATCACACCGGTGATCATAGTTCTGACCGGGCAATCCCTTCGAAGCTAATATTTTTGAAAGTACCGGACCCTTTTGCGCATGTAATACTTACTGGTTTAACTTACTTTTATAATGTAGAGTAAGAATACCCATTATTTCACTTAATAATTCAACGATTATTATTCTGCATATATCAGGCATGAAAATTGTCGTGGATTTTATACCAAATCATTCAAGCGACATGCATGAATGGTTTCTTGCCAGCTCAAATACGACTCATCCACAACACGAAAAATATAAGGATTATTACGTTTGGGTAAACGGATCCAGTGAGACTGATGTGCCAAATAATTGGGTAATTAGCAATCAAAAATTTGCAAATTTTGAACTATGAAACTATTATTTTTTTTCTGGGCCATGAGTTAAACGTCCACCATCGACAATTAAGTTTCGGTGTTGCAAATATTGTTGACAATGCTAACCGCAATCAAAAACATTTGGTCTAATGTCGAATTCCGAATACATTTACAATTGATAAATTGGAATTAAATACTTATCTGACTATATGATGTCGATATCACTTATGCTGATAATTAACGAATTAAAATAACAAAAGTTATTCCCAATATATTCGGAACGTATTCGAATTACATCTTGATCTATACTGGAATATATGTCGATAGTATATTAAAAAATTATCAAGAACTTTATGTAATAAGTTATACAACAAAAATCGATTTTCTTTATCAGAGGAGTGAGTATGGCAATGAATCTGCTTGGACTTGGAATGAACAACGTCAGCAATTTTACTACCACAGTTTTTCTAGCAAACAACCCGATCTCAATTTAAGAAGCGAGGACGTTAGAAACGAATTGAAGGTTGGATTAAGCTTAAACCAGTAAAAAAAGAGTCAGTTTTGAAATTATCAAACTTAACTCTGTCTTTTCCACATCGCTTTTTAAAGAGTCTGTGAGGTTGAAAAATTACTCTGACTCAATGAAGCGTTGCTAACTCGAGTATTATCTTTCCCAGCGAGACGGAGTTTTTAAATTTTTAATTATGAAAGTGAATGGCTTTCAAAGTACTTTACAAAGTATGGAGTTACGCACAGTCAAGCATGACAAAATTGCTTTCTACATTTGGCCCGAGTCTGTCTCCACATTGTTAGTAGAATTATGAGAATCAAGAAATGAAAACTCGAAAATTCTAGTTTATATAGCCTATTGGCATACAGTTCTACGCTATCCAATCGTTAAAGTCAGATAATCTGTTTCGATAAAGTTGAAGTAGAATTATGCGATGCGTATTGCGATGCACCCTTTCTTTCAGTAATCGTTTGACAATTTTCTAGTAATACCATAGATATAGGATATTTTTATAATTTGTTGTTTTTCATTTCCTCGTCATAGAGTGGTAATTTCGACTGGTTCATTTTAGGACATTCTCCGATTTTGGTTAGAAAAGGGAATTGATGGTTTTCGTTGCCTTGGAGTAGAGTATTTGTTTGAAGCAGAACATCTACGAGATAATCCCGTTATCGACGTTACAAAGCCAGTGAGTATAATTTAAAAATATTACGCTATAACGCGATTACGTATGGTTCAGGTTTCAGGGTAGTGAATCTGGCACATTACGGCTGGTACAAACCAGTAAAGTGCCATTCCCAATTGAGCACACCTTATTGTCTGGAAATCTATTGAAAGTGAATGAGTTTTGTCATTCACAAAAAAAAAATGGATGCTGAAAATATGGCTAACTTTCAACTCGACTATTTTGATATTGTGCTATTACAAATTTTATTTATTCAGTATAGAAGTATATATATTTTTAGAAAATTATCTTTAGAGTCGATCAGTAGGAGTACACGTTTGTATTTCAGATGTCTAGAGAAAATCTGTATCCAGATTACACGCAAAATTACAAAGGAAGTCATGATTTAGTTGCTGATTGGAGAGAACTGTTGGATCAATACAGCACTGAGCCAGGAGTCTACAGGTGAGAATTTCTTTTATAATATTTAGCGATTGTTTGACGCACCATTTTGGAAATTTTGATTTTGTAATATTATGAAAAAGAAAATATAACAACCACGTAAAAAATAATAAATAAAATCATTTCGTCTTGTAAGATTTTTGGAAACCCAATTTGAAGGCGATGACTCCACTTCGATAAGGTATTATGGTACTGAACAAACAAGAGAAGCAGATTTTCCTATGAACAGTCAATTCCTCAAAACCAGTGGAAAAGAGTGGAACGGCAACAATATTAGAAATAAGATAATGAAATGGATGAGTGCTATGCCTGAAGGAAAGTGGCCAAACTGGGTGGTAGGTCTTGAGATATCACCTTAATTCTATTTTTCGATTGCCCTTTCATACTTTCCTCGGTATGCATACCGAGAATGTCCTACTCCTAATGATAAGATTAAAGATCAGAAGATCAGAAATTATAATACTGAATCCACAAAACAGGTCACCCAGAGAATATAAAAAATTTTCGGCCCTGGTGCCACTCTTGACTCTTAGTACGTGAATGCACTCTGCAATAGAATTTTCTCGATTGTGACTGTCAGCATAGTTGTGATATAATAGCATACTATGCTTGGCGTCTTGCAGTAACTTTTTGAGCTTTTTAATGAAAGGTTACACACCTTTGTGCCGATTTATTCTCTAAGTAAACAATCTTAGTTGTGTGGGCCAGGGAGGAGATCTGCGAACCAGCATTCTCAACAAAGATATCTTACAGTAGATTCAGATTTATTATTATTATTATATGATTGATGTCATGACTGTGTTTTACAGTTGAGCAATCCCGAAAGTTCACGAGTCGCATCAAGAACGGATGTTGAAATAACTCGATGTATTGGTATGATGTACATGACTCTACCTGGAACTGCTGCTGTTTATTATGGAGATGAAATAGGAATGACGGATATAACTCTCGCATCATCAACAGAGGTTAGACTACTTTGATTTTTTGTTCCTTTTTTGCATTTAGATATCAGAGTTATGCAATATAGTTTATGATTATCTTTTTGTAGGATCGTCGCAATGCAGCTCGTTCTCCGATGCAATGGACATCTGGTGACAACGCAGGGTTTTGCAAAAATTGTACATCATGGCTTCCAATTAATGACAATTATATGAATGGAATAAATGTTGAGGTATGCATTGAAATAATTGTCATTTATGCAAAAATTGTGATTTTTGAACATAAAATTTAGACAGTATCAATTGTTCTTTAAATTCCAAATACGGTTGCAGGGGAAATATTTATAACTCGAGTTTTTTTTTTGGATTGCATAACTAAATTCATTTTATTATTTTTTTTTTAGAATCAAACAAGCCAATCTCTTTCCCTCTTGGCAATGTACAAGAAGTTAATTTCTCTAAGAAGTGACATCATATTTCAAAGAGGATATTTCTGCATGCTACAAACGAACACTGATGTGCTGGTGTAAGTTGAGTTTGTAGTTGAGTGCAAGTTATAGCTAACACTTCCATTGAATATTCATAGACACATTATATTTTTTATTTAGGTATGTTAGAGAGCTTTCCGGCTTAACTTCAATGATGATTTTAGTAAATTTCGGCGATACATCAGTAGGTGAAATTAATCTGGCATCTCTTTACTCTAATCTGCCATCTAGTGGACAAGTCGAGTTATACACTAGCGACATTGACAATTTCAAAGTTGGCAACACAGTCTCGTTTGAAAACCTCAATTTGCCCGCAAAATCGGCAGTGATCGTGAGCTATAATGAGCATTTTATGTTCAACGAAAGATCAGATATGGTTGGAAGTTGTTTTATCAATTCAAAGGTGTGCTACAACACGGCTCTCCAGGTTGTCCAGACATGTTAGTCACAAAGTTACTTTTATAAGTGTGAACACAACATAACTAATATATAACTTGAAGTCTCAATAGCTATTAATCCATGTCTGATTAGTTTTACACCAACTACAACGACCTAAGGTAGTGCATGAATTGATTTATTCACCAATTTTCAATGCTTCTTTCCATCGGACCTTTCGATTAACAATTTTAATCATCGAAATTGTCACAACTTTGACTATTTGTATTGCCTATGATTTCATTTAGCTGGAATTGAAAATAAAGTAATTTGAGAACTACATACCGTATTCTTTCTTATTTTTGCAACTTGGTTCATTTTATCAGATGCTTCGAGACGCATATATTTGGAAAAGTCAGAAGTAAGGCGTAATGCATTTCAATTTTGTTATGTGTGATGTAATAATTCATATCGTTGGCAAGTTGCGAAACAGATGGATGTTTTTTCCATTACTTTTTCAAGTCGTTCAGTGATAAATTCCCTAATGTACTGCAGATGCAGATACACGATAAATATCCCTGGCTTATTATAGCTACAACATGCTGTTTTTAATTGTAAAGAACAAAAATAGGCACTGACTGATATAATTAATTTTATTTCGTGGTATATTTCAATAAAACATCATTAATTACGAAATAGATGTTTTGAGTACACTACAAAGGATTATATCACATATTTATGAACTACAATGTCTAATATCTATATACGCCTAATGACGTCAATTAGAAAATATAACAATTTGTCAATGAATAAATTACAGCATGATACATTTCAGCTTACTATTTAAACATTTAGCAAGTTTGAACTATGCCAAGCCCTCTATTGTAGCAGACTTTCAAATTGATGAAACACGAGTCGCTGTCGCTGTAAAAAGGTTTATTTGTGCTGAAACGAACTATTACTCCCGTACCCGCCTTCAGAACTACATTCGAGAAATCCATTTCATCAGGGTTTCCAATGTCAGTTGAAAATTCAACTTTACCTTCTGCCGACAAATCAGCGTACGTAGATTTCAGGTTAAATGAAGTCGTTCCCGCACCAGAGTCAAAATTGATCAAAACCATTTTAGGACCCAGTCCAGGCAGATCTCGAACGAATCTTAACAAAATACAAAGGATATGTATAAAATAAATATATCTTTAGCGTAACAGTTGAAGAACTTTGGTTATCACATTTTTGTTCTCCGTCAGAAACTAAGCGAAGAAAACAATAACTGACTAATTTAACACCATCATGAGCAGGTTAACAAGATAGCAATGTTCAAATATATGGAGACGAAGTCGAGTATGTGTACTCCCAAAGTATATGAACCAAGATGGCGGACACCGAAACGTAGTATGTGTACCAGGTTAGGGTAAGGCCATCATTTTATTCCAATTTTCCTTATTTTAGTTCTATCACGAGTTTGGGGAATAGTCAAGTAACTCCCGTAGTATTTGTACCTTAAATTATGGCCGAACCCTAACCTGGTACACATAATACGCTCCGGTGTCCGCCATCTTGGTTCACATACTTCCGGAATACCCATTTGTACGGTAGAACTTGAAAGCATCGAGTTTGCAGAAAGACTAGACCAGGGTTGTCCAACCTTTTTTGCCGAAAGGCTTCGGAAACCTTCGGCGGGCCACATATGGCCCGCGGGGCCAAGGGTTGGACGACCCTGGACTAGGCAGACTATCAATACAAAATAACAACACTCTCACAGTTGCAAGTTAAATACTTACATGAGAGTGTTTTCAATCACTTCCAAGACGCACAAATATCCACGTTGATAGACGATATCTGTTCTGAGTGAGATCAGCTGCTTATACATTTCTAACATTGAATTTTTCGTTCCAAGTTGATCCTACACGGATAAAAGGCGGGAGAATTAAGATTGAAAATTTGAATATTTTTGAATAAATGCAGATGAAAATTTCAGAGTTCTTACATATTAGAATATATATTTTCATTATTTTTCACGTATTAGAGGTTTGTGTAGAAGTCTCACCTCTACTGTAATACCAGTTTTGTAGTTTTCATTCACCGGTAGCCACGGGGTACAGTTCCCACAAAACCCAGCGTTTTTGGTATTCGACCATTGCATTGGTGTTCTTTCAGGATCACGAAAATCCTAAAATATAGAAAATTTGATATACCTAATATACGTGACATACCAGATGTGTCACAATTGTGTCAACTTTGCCAGAAATTCATTTATACATACTTTTGCTTATGTCTTATACATACAAATATTTTTGCAATGAAAATTTAGGTTTTGACTGGAAGCGAGTGAAGTGTTGTTGACACACATTTATATTGTTTCGACGATCGTTTACCGTATGTTGTGAATCAAACCTTCATATCTGGTATGTCGTTATCTTCCATTCCTATTTCGTCTCCGTAGTACAATCCAGGTGTACCCGGTAATGTCATGATCATGAGCGCTGCACACCGTGCTAGATTATTTCCAACTCTACTTGGCAGTCGAGAATTGTCATGGTTGCTCATCTGCAATAAGAAAAAAAGAAAGCTCTATCTTGAATCAGATTTTCACACAATATGAGAAAATTACAACAATGTTATTAGGAAGACCCACCACCCAGTTGGCCCATTTCCCTTCCGGCATATTTTCCATCCATGACAAAATATTGCCTTTCATTTTAGCAGCAGTCCAATCCGTTGCAGGATCAGCCTTTATCAGCTCGAAATTCATTGGGAAATCTCCTTCTCTTACGAATTGCGTGCCATAGTATCTCATAGTCGTTTGGATGTCAGCATAAACTTCAATTTCCATAAATCTGCGATTGCAAGTGAAGTAATTTCATTCTTCAGTAAGTTCATTGCTAAAGTCTAACGACGATTATGAGTTTGTATGATAGTGTAGTGTACACTGGGATTTTGATGTAAGCGCATGACTTTACTCTGCTTATGAGACATGTTTTGGGATAATAACGAAACGTAAATTTCCTGTAAAAAGTTTGTTTTCATACTATTTTTCGGGAGTTTAATAATAGAAGGCGAGAATCGAAGAATTAAGTAAACCCGAGTATTTTATATTTATATAAAGTAATTTCAGAACCACAACCAACTTGTTTCAGGCAATGCAGTAATAAGTGTACATACCGGTATACACCAGGCTCAGTGCTGTATTCATCCAAAAGCGCTCTCCACTCGGCAATAATATCATGAACACCTTGATAATTCTGCGTGTAATCGGGGTATATATTGTCCTTTGTTACCTGTACGCAGGAAATCGCATTTCGTCAAATAATTACCTTTAATTGCGGTATCTAATAATAGCAGCCATATAGGGTAAAATATTTCAAATCTTTAGGCAGTGACACACTACAAGTAGTTGTTGAATCATCGAGTTCAGTTTAGAGCGAAGTGAGAAAACACATAGAGAATAATATATTGCAATTGAAAAAAATATCCATTTGATCATGTTCACAAAGTGTTTTATCTTGAGATAAATTACACTGATTGATGCGAGAACTATTAGGTAATAGGGCATTCTACAATCGTGTAATTTGACATAATCTTCCCCAGTAAAATAAAAGGTTTTGGCAAATTTAAAAAAAATTATGATCATTTCAAAGTAACAATTTTGTTGAAATTAAAATTTCCACCTTTCAGTGTTTTTAATATATATAAATTTCCTATATTTTATTTAAAAAAAGTCATGTTCAAATAATGTTTCACGTTATACAAAGCACTGTACAAGCAGCCCCGTCTATTTAATAAACTGCTGGTATATTTAAATACTTTCCCATGATGGTATTAATATAAAACTTTAACAGCGAACAGCGTTTAAGTAAACTTTTTGTGACTAAAAATATTGGATATTGACGCACATATAGCGATAACAAAACAGAATCACCAAGGCTATGTTTAAAAAAGATAAAAAGTTTTCTATGGCTTCTGCATGAAAGTTAATCAGACGTTATTTCGAAACGAATTTAATACGTCTAAATACAAGTTTCTTTTACACGTTAAAGTTAATCAAGCTTTACCTACGTATGTCGCGTTAATATTTAACGAATTGTGCCTGGCGTACCACAAATATGAGTATGTTTGTCGCGGAATCTTTCGAAAACTCATACGATATCCACCTATTCAAATCGCAATGAAACGCACCCTGAATAGGTATGTGTCATACCTCAGAGCAAATATTTGTAAAAGACAAGTAAATAGACCAGGTATAGTTTACAATTATAAACGCTCAAAGAGCGATTATAATTGACGGCGTATCCGTTCTGTTGGCGGCTTTGAACAAATTTTTCGTCGGACTTTAAACTCAAGTTGAATCTTCCTTAATACGATCTGATTCAAAACCAAATCTCATTCCGGAATACAACTGTTTCCACCTCGTTACTATCGTGGATTTACTTCGATAAAACACCACTTACGTTCTGACTTGGGTCGGGTACAGGGTTGTCTCTTAAATGCTCTGCTTCAAACATATAGGCTACCGCATCACAGCGGAATCCATCGACTCCTTTTTCCAACCAGAAGCGTAAGATATCCTTGCAAGGAACAAATCAAGAAATTAATTAAATAAAACATCTTAAATGCCATATACCAGGGGTCGGGAACCTTTTTGGTCAAGAGAGCCATAAAATATACATATTTTCAATTGCATTTCCGTGCGAGCCATATAACATTTCCTCACTTAATCAGGCCTGAAATGTTCACTCAAAAGTCAACACATACGATGTCTATATACATTTAATGTGATTTCTTATGCTGCATGTAGTCGCTACGGGCCTTGAACGGTTGCTCACATGCAGCCCAATTTGAAATCTACGATACTGATCACCCGTTTTTCGTTTGGGCATCTCCGTAGTGTTTTTAAAACTCTATCGCTCTGTGATGTCACAATATATGTTCCAGAATCCCCTTTGTTTGTCACAATGCCTGTCGGGTAATTATCTTACATAACATAGACATGTGCTGGACGCGCGTTCTCAAACGTATTGGGAATTTCCTGCCAAATTTGGCTATAAAAGAGTTTGAAATCTCGTAACAATAGTAAGCTTGGTCTTGGGATATTAGATTTTTCCGAGAGCCATATGCCGTCACCAAAAGAGCCATATATGGCTCGCGAGCCATGGGTTCCCGACCCCTGCCATATACGAACAAAAGGCTCGCAATATTACTGTCTGAAACTATATTTTGCCAACTACGAAAAGGAAATGCAATGCTCTAGCTAGGCAGAAGAGTTTCGTATTGCATGACATATGCCTATATGCAGGGATTCCATCGATCTGGAACCCAAAATAAGGACGACTGGAAAAATTTCTGCATTGTGAGCAGAAATAGCTGGTTTTCCTATGGCCTCCGGGTTAATGTCACAATTAAAGACGCCACAGTATGCGAAGCACTCACCCTTCAAGCTTCGTTTTTCTTTCCCGTACTCATCACGAAAAACGTTTTTACATTTGCTCATTTTTAAATTTGGGCTAAAATAACCACCACCACGATAAAACTCAAGGATCGCCACACTAACAATGCTTCATGCTTAACTGTGCCTTGCCTCTTTGTGTTCCAAATAAGATTGTGTTGCTTTTATGATGCCACAATAAAGCTTTGGCGATAAAACAAACAACACAAAGCTTCCTTTATGAAGTCCAAATAAGACAAAATAGGGATACGCAAGCCAAAAATAAGGCCGCAAGCTAAAAATTAGTCAAAAATAAGGACAAATCTTAGAAATAAGGACGGTATGGAATCCCTGCCTATATGATTTAATTCGGTCTAGTTGATACCACATTTTACACCAAAGGTCTACGAGCGAACTGATTGTCAAATACCACTCTTTTTTTTCCAAATGTTCGTTACGAAATTATCTGTATTTTGAACTCGTTTCACTTAACTTTCGAATACTAGATTTTCTAGAATACTAGGTAATAGGTATAATCGAGTTTAGAATGAATAATCCAATGCAATTGGTGTAAAGTTTGTAAACAGTAGCTAATATTCCCATCTTTTATACCATATTCAGGAAATACCATCCCCGAAAAAATATTTTTTAAATGGAGAAAAAAAACATCAATCGGTGCCAAGCTATAATCCAAGTTTTAAATTAATGATTGTCATAAAATTTTGAATAAGTGTTTCAAAACCTTAATCTCATTTCTGACATCTGGATTTCGTAAATTCAGGTCAGGCTGCTCAGGAAAAAATCCATGGAAATAGAATTGTTTCCGATCGTCATTCCACGTCCATCCTGAAGCATTGTTGAACTCACTAACCTGTGAAAATATTATTTCCAATTTTCATGTTCTTTTACTGAATAAACTGCATGGACAACTGAGAATTAGTATTTCGGAATTATTTGATTCATGTGGTAATAACTTGATGGTGAATCGCCCTATTAGATTTAAGTTCCTATGCAGTTTAATTAGCTACTGTATTCCGGTCTCTATGTTTTTGGTGTCGTTGTTTTTGATATTTTTTTTACTGTTAAACCACTAATGAACTGTAATTCACTGAAAGACCCTTTCCCTGTATAAATACAGCCAATTGTATGTAAAGGGTTAGAATCGGAATGTAGCCCGTTCGGCAATATCAATTTGACTTAGTATAGCCTGAGCGGGCGTGTGTGGCTTAGGTTAAAGTTAAACAATGGTCATTTTGATTAGGAACCAGTTCAAAACCCCCAACTTATGATGACTGATGGCAACAGTAACCGGACCATAGAAATCGTTTTTATTCCGCAGGGATACGATTTTATGAAATGAATTACCCAATTATTCGGAAGAACATCCTTGTCTGCGTCAACCCAAACATAGTAATCTTTATATATCTTATGGTCTGGATGACTGGTGTTCGAACTAGCTAAAAACCATTTATGTTTGTCACTTGAATGATTTGGAACAAAATCCATAAGTAACTTCATTCCTACAAAAAAAAATTTATATTTATATATATATATATTTTCAGAATTCATGTGTGGCAATGATTTGAATCTCGTAAATATTCTCATAGACTTTTAACCCGAACGTGATTCGCACGCGGTTACGCCGTTCCGTCGGCTTCCAAGTCATGTTTATTTTTCCCTCTAAATATTCAATTTTCTAATCCTATTTTAGGAAATTGAAGTCCATTGTGAAGAAAGTACACAAATAGAAATCGATGGGATTGAGGCCAAAATAATTTGTGAGAGAGAGAACTAGCTAGAAATCATATGTTATTGATACCTCTGTTATGCATTTCAATTATCAGATTGTCCATATCCTCCATTGTGCCAAATGCTGGGTATATGTCTCTAAAGTCACTTATGTCGTATCCATTGTCAACTTGAGGAGATGCGTATACGGGATTCAACCACAGAACTTTCACTCCCAGATCGTCATTGAGATAGTCGAGCTTTTCAATGATGCCTGCGTGTATTATGTTAAAAAAACATGTGAAAAGTATTGTATATGCTGATACACAAATGTTTTGTATTTTTCAAAGTTCTAAAGATATTACTGTATAACCTAATATCTAGGCGAAACCACTGACGCCCATTTGAATTTGGACATACTCCTCCAACTTCCCGGATATGTTATATAGTTTTTATCTAGTCTCCAAACAATCTCAACAAAAACTATTATTAGATGCCTACACCACGTTTACCCCATGAATATTAATTGCTAATTGTGAACAACAAAATCTGACAGTGATGCTTTACAAGCAAAGCATTAACTTACCTTTTAGGTCGCCATAGCCATCATTACCATCCGCATCTAGATAGGATTTCGGATATATTTGGTAAATTGGACTTGTTTGCCAGAATTCAAGACAAGGAGGCGATATAACAACTACTGCTATCACCAATGCTATCAACGTCAAAATTGTCAAAAGAACGAGGGCGGTCAAGATGTTGCGGGCCCAAACGAACTTCGCTTGACGAGAGTACTGCAACAAAACTTCTTTGGGCATTCCTAAAATGAAAAGCAATGTTATCATTTATGATATTGTATGATATTGTTTGGCTTTACAAGAGTTAGTAGCATATTGGACTACACGTGTTTTGTGGTTTTCGTGTTTGACTCTAAAGTTTTGTGTGTTGACGTCATAAAAATTAAAAATTGCGAAACCGTGTGGCGGTTCCGCGATCGCATTTCAGCGATGTCTGAAGGTATTTGGTAAGCAAGACTACCGTTACTGGAAATGATTTGATTAATATTTCGTTTTGGCATTCGCGTCAATATATATTTGAGCATTGCTCTGCTGTTTCAGCACATTGTAGAAATATCATTTTATTCAAGTCGCTAAGTCGTAACGGTTAGCGTTTTGACTTTTCCAATCCACTCAAACTTTTACCTTAAACAGGATATAAAACACTGGCAAGTTCATGCTGAACGTGAAACAAATTTCTCTCATTTGTTTGCAGACAAAAAGTGGCGCAAAGCCCTTAAGTTGTTTTGTGATTTTGGCGTTCTAACAAAATAAACTATAATTGAAACAATTCACACTGGTGTGTATTTACACGATACAATGTACCTGCATATGGACCGTCGCTGTCCAGAGTGCTGGCGGACAGACTTGAAGATCTACTGCTATCAATTTTGACTTTAACATCCTCGAGATCTTCATGAGCTGACGAAGGCGGAACATTTCCACTATGATCATCAGGAGATGGCAACGAAAACGAAGTAACTCCGGATTCACCTACATAACCACTGTTATCCATGATTTTAAACTTGTCAGTCGTATCAAAAATATCTGAAAAGCTATCTGAAATGTTTTGTTATGTTATAAAAGCATTTCAAAGAAGTAAAATCGCGTTAAATTTTGTAATACATATGGCTATTCTTCTAATTTTTATTTCTCATCTAGATTTGTGTGTATAGAGTCCTCTTTCTAATCTGCGTATAAAGAACTCACCGGCTTTACTTTATTTTCAATCATTCATGAATGCGCTTGCCGATTTACGAAGAAAGCAAACATCCGAGGATTTAATGTTTGCAAACTTCATTGAACGAGAAGTGATTTGGCGCAAACAAAGGACGTACCTGGTGCGGCAATGCTTTGTGTGTTATTGAACAATATAAAATGGATTAAACTTCATGTGATCCCGAATATTTATTGCATTTATTAAATATTCATTCATGATGTGTTATGTATTACTAACACCATCCAACTGTAGGCTATATTGGTTAGAGCGTTGAACTCAAAATTAGATTGGCATCGTAGGATAAAGATCAATGTGGATGCAATAAATTGGGCAAACAAACCGTCGTGTAAAGGGACTGAAACCTATGGGCAGTGTGTATAACACAGACAGTTCCCGAATTCGTAATAGAACTAAAATAAGGAAAATCGGAATAAAATTATGGCCAAACCCTAACCTGGTACACACACTACGGGAGTACCGAAACGTTATCAGTGGGTGAACTGTTCACGGTAACAGTTTTCTTTTTACAATATCAATACCAGCTGTTTTCGTGTTCACGACTGATGACGTAAAAGACGACTAAATTTGGAACATCGGAATAGAAATAGTATTAGGTTAGCCATAACAAGCGAATTGTGTACATAGGCGATCACTTTTAGTCCTGAATTATGTCATTAGTCATTTTATCAATGTGAGTGTTAAGCACGCGATGTTTTCAATTGGAACAAATTTTCAAACAAATATTTGTCGGGGATGAATAAAAGCTATGCGATATGAAGCGATGCAGGCATCAGTTTTACTATAAATTTACATCGTTGTCCTTGCTACTCCTTGCTTTAGGAATAATAATTAAAAAGGTATCGTATACAATCTTTTCAAAAGACTCTGAAGTATACAACACCATCGGTGAACAAAAAACCTTCATTAATTGTAAGCTGAAATTAATACTCAACACTAAATTTAAAATATGTCCAAGAAAAAAAAACAATGCGATTTTGTGTTCGCCTCTTGTATTATAAGTAATAGTTGTTAATTATCATATTTGATACAAACCCCCAAAATGCCAATGTATTTTCCTACATATTTTTAAGAACAAGAAAAACTTCGCTCTAACTGAGACACACCATCACGGAAATAGAGCCAAGTTTAGAGGTTTTGTTCAAAAATATGAAAGCACTCGGGTCTTATTAAAGATATTGTCAATTTTATTATTTTATTTTAAAGTTTCGTTGTATTATTAAATATTACTTTATTTTAATTCCCGAGGGTCTCGAATATATTTGGCCTTGCCAAGTGTGTCCCAATGAAAACAGTTTGAAGAACACTGGACGATCTTTCCACGGGAACGATTCTACACCTGCTAGTTCTCATACGTTCAATTATAGCTATGACGCAGATAATTCGTAAACTTACGCCAGCGTGGAGTTGCTAAAATGTATATAAACCACCTGATATTGCAATGAAAATCATTATTTCGAACTCTGTATTAGAAAACGAAATTAAAAGAACCATGAAGCTCTTCATTGCCTTTTTACTCACACTTGGTGGTAAGTGTCTAAATTTTAATGACGATTTCTGATTTTATAACGTTCTTCACTAACTGGCAAATGCAGAACTATTCTTCCTATCCGAATCTAATATAATGCTTGACATGACAGAGATACCTGCATGTCAAAACTGCACGATATCAACATCACAATGACGTTATACCATTCGATGACGTCATTTCTTAAAATTTCGAACTCTCGACATTTGATAATAAGAATGTAAATCTCTCGAGCTCACAATGATGAATTTTTTCCACTCAATTAGTTGAAGGGTCAATTTTGAGTTAGTTTTTTATTGTTGTTGAATATTGGTTATAACGGTTCTCAAAGTTGCCAACAACGATAATATCAATATTTCTGGAATGAAAAAGCAGAAACCTGGGTTCACGTAGTTTCTTCAATGATACTTTACCGTTACATGAGCCATGTTAATTGCTTTTAGTGGCAAATGCTGACAAGATTGTGGGGGGATCAGAAGTGGGTGGCCCCATTTCCTATCAAGTAAGAATTGCTTATGATACGGGAGGCATTCGATGCGGAGGAACTCTGATATCCAACCAATGGGTGTTGAGCGCCGCCCACTGCAAAGGACTCCTGTAAGTTGTCCTTTTTTTACTGTGAAAATACATTTATTGATTGCGGTGATCTCACGACTTGATAAATTTTTGTTGTCCATGACGTGAAAAGTCGCGTCTCCCCTTACCTTATGAAACAAGTTATTTTAATTTATCGGTGTTTGGAGTTCCCAGAACGCTACTACTTCTAATTTTTGATAGCTTCGGGATTCGATATTTTATTCTAAATTTTCTTATTTTTATATTCAACTGGCGCACTCAATTCTCGTAACATTCGGCTTGAATTTGGGGCAATATTAGTCATATAAACATCGTTACCTTGGTATATGAAGCGATTTTCTGCGTTACGCATTACAATAAAAATCCAGAATTAAGCTGAGGTGATTTAGGATACAATAACGTGCCGTAAATATATAATTAAAAAAATTCAGACAAACCTGGGAGAGCTGGGTTCTTCATTTCGGCTACTACAATCCTACAACGATAGGTGTCACTCGCACAGTCATTCAACAAACCTGGAATCCGGATTACAACTCGCAAACTGTAGATAACGACGTTATGGTATTGAAAATAGATTCTGCCGTTGACTTGTCAAACCCGAGCGTTGTGTACTACGCTCTTCTTCCAGAACAATCCAGTTCCCTCACCAGTCCTGCAATCGGTAGTCCATGCAAAGTGAGCGGTTGGGGAACAACAAAAGCTGACGGAGGTAAGTGCGATTTCATGATTTCTACTTCCATTCAAATAAAAAAAATTCTGATTACTGCATTTCTCATAAAAACGTTTGCCTTAAATTAAAGCTTCTTCGAATGCAAATGAATAGTACATAGGATTGATTGTTTAGAATAACTTCATGTTTACTTGCTTTGTTATAGACACATCACCAAATTTACTTGAGGTTACCGTGTACGTTGTCAGCAATGAGGATTGTAGCAATAAATACTCCAGATACGGCGGTGTGACTTCCGGAATGATGTGCTTGGCCGACAGCGGCAAAGATGCCTGCCAGGTAAAACTAATTTAATATTTCTGATGCTTAGTAATGGTTTAAACGTATATCCGAAGTCTGTGTGTGCAATATGTTTTGCTGTTCGAGGTAAAAAAAAAGGCATCTGAATCACAAGCGCTCAGGAAGGCTTTTGATGTATAGCAATTATAACATACCAAAGTATCTGACCAATTTTTGAATCGAAACATAAGGGTTCGATTTAACTTCATCAAATAATTGAATATATAAAATATTATATATTGAATGACCTCTTGCATTAAAAAATCCTGCAAAATAACATTCAGACCAGAACTGTTTTCAAAGCGTCGTTTTTCGAGGAATTCAAAACATCTCACATTCCTCCAAACTTTGATCCAGACAAAACTTTTCATTTATTCACGCGCAGTATTTTTTTTAAATTAGTATTTTTGTATTACATTCTGGATAAGATAACTGGTAAGTATGAAATAGTGGCCGAATTTACTTTTTGGTTTAAGGGTATGTCAAACTGTTTGCGGATTAACTATTATATTTGTTGAATCAGTATTCATTATTATTATATTTCAACCAATAGGGTGATTCTGGTGGACCGGCGTTTTGTGGAGGCAGACTGGAGGGAATCGTCTCTTGGGGAGTTGGATGTGCTGATAGTCGTTATCCCGGCGTATACACTCGTGTCTCCAAGTATGTCGACTGGATCTTGCAGCAAACTGGACCATTGCCAACTGCATACTAAAACGAGTTTTCCAGCACCGTTTTAATTGGTTTATTTTCAATTGAAAACTAATAAGATTGTATACCAATAAAAGTTAATTTAATAAACTCGAATATGAAAAATATAATGCCTCTGATGCTCTTGAATGGGGTTACATAGAGAACAAGAAAGCAATGCTCAAATGCAAGAAATACTTAAGTCCAACGACGAACCGTCGTACCGGTGGTTTATGCGACTTCCATTGTAATCCGTTACCCAATCTCTATCAAAAAACGTTTAGTTTGCTATGTAATTGCGTCATTATTGACAAACATAAAGTCTCCCTCCTGGAACGAGCATAGAATTCTCGGACAACTTTTTTTACGATTTGTCTTTCTAATTCATCTGGACGGGATCCGTGCTTTCGAAAATAGCTCTTCTATTTGGTATGCATATTCAAATTTTCACGGGGATCACTTCAAACATGGATTATCGAATACGGGTGTACGCAAAACTTTTTTTGTCATATTTAATAACATAAATAGTTCTGATAACAATTTTTAATAAAAATGAGTGGAAACAATACTGCAGTTTGTCGACGGGGCATTGCAACATCACGACTGCGTGATGAAAAACTGCGTACCAGTATTGGGTAGAGGTTCAAAAAGCCCGAGTCGCAAGTCACGTGTCATCCCAGTCAAATTCGAGTTCGATTTCGAGTCGAATCATTTCACTACGTCTTACTAGCGATTAATTGAGTGTGAGTCCGAGTCATTTTATTGAGATTACTCCAGTCACGTCGAGTCTTTGATAAATTTAGTGTATTTTGAGAAAATTCTGCGTTCTCCTATTCAAACATCATGTTCTCGCGATCGTGACCTCTGAGGAACGCGACTGATAATAAAATACTGGTGTTTAGTAACTAAGTGCGTAGCTTGTGGGGCTGAACAGAATCGTTAATTTTCAGAACGTAAGTTAACAATAGTTAGGGTACGGGTTATTTAACCTATTACTAAACTTGGCGTGTGGAATCTGCAGTCTATATAAGAATGATATACATTATTGACGCTACATTATCGCGAAATACCAAGAAATTAGAAGCTAAAATTGATGGATGATTTCCAAAACATTCACCCATGGTAAAATTAAAAAGCTTGCTGTAAAGTTTACAATTAAAAAAATTAGGCCGACGGTTTACGACAGGATTCAGCAACCTTTTGCCGCTCTCGGGCCAAAATTGAGGGTTGCAAGTCATTAGCGGGCCGCACATATTTTTTGAAAGTTGAAAACCAAACGGATAATACTTTTTATAATAAAAATCAACAGTGATACATCTCTCGAATAGAATTTAGATTTATTTCCTCATTGCATCTCAAAATATTCCATTTGAATATTTTCTGCGCCATTGGACCCTTTGCACTTAGCATCAACTTTTCTGCGTTTTGTTGCCATTTGTCTAATTATAATTAAATTATAGGCTCATTAAACGAGTAATTGTGAATTATGTACTTGTTTGGTTATAATATAATTCAGTCTAAGGAATATAATCGTCAAAACGGGTGTTATAATACTTATAATTCAGTGAAGCGTCGCGGGCCGGATTATATTACTCCAAGGCCGTAGGTTGCCGACCCATGGTTTACGATATTTAACGGGTAACGAAAACTCCATGCGTTCCACAAGGCCTGTCCGCTTGTTTGTCGACAGTTGGTAGACAAATTTCCAACCGACAGTCGCCGATGTAAGACAGAGATTACTATGACGACCAATTTAGTCGCAATTTCGACCCTAGGTTGTGCGTCATCTTGGGAAGAATACCTCCGGAGCGCCGCCCAACCTACTAAAACACAAGGCCTGTGATGACGAACAGCTCTGACCCACGTGTCACCCGTAGTATTTTTAGGTGCCCCGAATTACGACAAAGATAAAATAATATTTAAGCGGATCATAATCCAATCTGACGAGAAGATGCAACAACAAGTTTCTCAAAGATTAATTAAACCATTCAGCAAAAATGTTTGCCATTACTGCACTAGGCCATCGAGTTCACATAATATAGCCTACTTAAATATACCTTTTTTGTTTGCCTGAAGTATTTGTTGTACTCAAATTAATTGACGTCACGGTGTTTTTGTTTGGTTATATACTGTATATAGATTATGTAATTCTAACTATGTTTGGCAAAAATTTGTATTTTTGTCTTACATATATCAACATATGTCAATTCTCATGCTACAAACATCCATTTGCGTCACAAAAGATAAATTCCATTTCGGCCCTTGGTTGGCATATTTGTGGATGTTATCTTAATTTCTAGCAGCTTAGTGTAGTCGACTGCGCGCTTGCTTTTAATAATTTTTCGCAATAGATCATTACGTTGCATTGCAGAAGTATAGTCATGAAAATTTTTGCTGTGTTTATGTTCTTAATTTCAGGTAGGAAATATATTTTTCAAATAGCGTTGTTTTTCACCGATTACAGTTCCAAAATGTAGTTTACTCATAATTAGATCACTTCAGCTCTTTTGAGAATATTTTTCTGTAAAAGTGTTACCACGGAATGCTGCTGTATAAATTCATATTACTTTCTTTTTAGCCACTCATGCTGACAAGATTGTTGGGGGGACAGACGCGAGAGGACCAATCTCATACCAAGTACGACTCCAGTATGAGACAGGTAGCATTCGATGTGGGGGAACACTTATCCATCAAAATTGGGTTATGTCTGCTGCCCATTGTCAAGGAAGGTAATTGACAATATTTATTCATCTTACGTAGTCAGTTCTGCAAGAGCCCACAAATTAAACAAACATTTAATCTGAAATGCGAGTCGCTCGTTTGTATGTACATTTTTTTTATGCGAATACAAGCATTATAAATGCAGATTTCTGGATGCCGTTTAAGTAGTCTGTGTGCTTCATATCCTATGTTTTATTTTGGATGGAAAAATATGAAAATGAAATACAAAAAGTTGAAAACGCAAATTATGATAAACAAATAACTTATGAAAAGATTTGTAAAGTCTACGGAAAGAGAAATCTATAAAGGCAACTGGAATAACAATTTTATGTTTTTCTGAAGTCGATTTTTATCACGGTGAAAGAAAGTTGTGGTATTTTATAATAAATATGTGTGGTATATTGAAAGTATATCTCCGGATTTTCAAAATCGCAGAGGTTTGATTATTAGAAAAAAAATAAAGGTAATGAACACACACATTATTCCGGATTATCAGAATACACGCTTGTTAACGACAGCAAAAGATTTAGGTATCTTTAATGTTTTACTGAATAATCCACGTCAATAACGATATATTTTACTTTTTCGTACAATTTTTATTCAATAGACCAAACGAATGGAGTACTTGGAAGTTAGCATTTGGTTATTACGACGGGCTTCATGAAGGAGTTCATATACATGAAATAGCAGATCAAATTGCCCATCCAGAATACAACTCCGGTACTACCGACAATGACGTTATGGTACTGAAAACGCACGGAACCGTTTTACTTTCCAATTCTGTTCAAGTCGCTGCCCTTCCTATGCACTATGAAGGACTTGACCTACCTGAATACGGATCTCCTTGCATTGTTAGTGGATGGGGAACTACCTCATCAGGAGGAAGTGAGTAAGAGTTTTTTCTTCATGCACATAATGTAGTGAATCGTAAAAATACACCCAATAATGTATTTCGGTATTTCCACTGTTTTTTTTTATCATATAATTTAAAAAAAAACTCGACTCAACAACATTGAACCTTGTTAAAATAAGTATAAATTAAATGTGTGGTTTTCCAGTTCTTATTTATACCCTCGAATCAATACTACGCGAAATTAAAGTCTTTCAATGAAATGTATATAAAGGGATAAAATATTTATAACTTTTCAATTAATAATTCTATATTGTTACAGCTGTGTCAAAATATCTACAAGAGGTGACCGTATACGTCGTTCCAAATGCGGAATGTAACATTCCTTACACCGGCTCAATTACGACTGGAATGATGTGCCTTGAAGCTCCCGGAAAAGATTCGTGTCAGGTTTATATAAAATATTTATCGATTTGATTTGTAAATTACGGTGTCTCCAAAATGTCGTGTCCCACGTGTACGTGTCCCACTTGTACCACGTGTCCTACTTGTTCCACGTGTCCCACTGTACCACGTGGTACAAGAGGGATAAGTGGGACACGTGGGACAAGTGGGCAAGTATGACACGTGGGACAAGTGGGACACGACATTTTGGAGACACCCTGAAAATTATATAATATACACTAATATTTGTAATAAGGAGGTATTCTAAATATCACGTTCCAATATTGCCAATATTTTCATATCTTTTTGAAATAATCAGAGTATAGTTATTGATCCACTCATACATTGGCAATACAGATCGAATAAACATTTCAACGAGATAGCGATCAGAGACCGCCAACTTATCGATCTAGCGGCGTATATCTTTCGCTTTGGCTTAATAGCGACACCGCGTGTCCCATCACTAATTAATCAATAACTCGCCAATTATACGACCTAATTCATCCAAAATCGATAGGCTTCCGAGATATGATGAATGCACATGTAAAAATTGGAGCAGATTCAACTTCGCCTTCGTGGGATATTGCGTGTATCTAACAGACACACAAACAAACAGACAAATACCTATCAACGTACAAGATCAAGATCGATAAGTAATCACAGGCTTGAACGGCGCAACTATACAGCGGCACGAAAAATACCAATTAAAAACAAAATAGCAACACTCAAATATATGGACACCACGCCTGAATGAATAATATGGTCATCACAACGTCATAATTACTTCTGATCAAATGTTATGAGAATTGTGCCGAGATTCTGATAGAGTTATACTCAAGAGTTCATCAAAAATATATTGAAAATCCGAAATCTATTGGCCCGCTGGTTCCAATAAAAAACTACAACAATTTAGCAAAAACACCGATACGAGCCAAACGCAAGGTTACTTGGCCAAGTCTAAACAAAGCGCAACATCCTCGCTGTTTACTTTTAATTAATATTTGAGTGACGTCGCGTTAGTAACGCATAAGATGGCATTCTCTTTCCGCCACACACGATATACTGACAGACTTTATTTAAATTTTACAGGGAGATTCTGGCGGCCCAGCTTTATGTGGCAACACTGTTTCCGGTATTGTATCTTGGGGAATTGGATGTGCGTTAGACAGATTTCCTGGGGTATACACGCGTGTATCTCGCTACGTGAACTGGATTGTGGAAAATACAGATATTACAATGTAGTTTGCTTCAAGTTTTGTTTCAGTGTAATAAAACACTCATTAGATGTATACTAATTTTGTCATTTATTGGGGATATAGCAACACTGAAATTTTGAGATTAAAAGCAATTTTTCCAAAGTTATCAGATAACTTATTTAAATTAATCCAGTTTTGGACGTGATGGCTATGTGCGCTCCGGGATTTGTTTCTATGATTGTTCAAACTCGGGTATACATCGATCTTGATTGCTGATGTAAATGAGGTAGATGTCAGAGAACATAACAATTCACATATTATACAAACCAATTCAAATCTACTTCAGCATAACATTAGTGGACATACCGATCATTTCAATATTATGTTGTTTTTGACACAGAATAGGTCACCTAGTGGAAATCTTGAAAAAACGCTTTTATCTTTGATTACCGGACCAATTTATTCAAAATTGTCATTGGTTGAAGATGGAATTTTTCTCTAGAAGGGTATTACTTTTATTCATTTCAAATATTTCTGTTAGCTCTGTGGTATTAGTTTTTGTTTGCTATGACGTCAGCGAACGTTCTGCGGACGCATATGCTGGCACTCCTCCTCATGTTCTTTTGATCACTGCGCGGTGACTGTGAAACAAGAAACAACTCGTAACTGTCTCGTAAAGGCGGGGCTTGCAATCACTGTTATAACTGATGTCTTTGCTTGTCTTGGAATCGGTAAACGTGTCTATATATTTGAGCATAGCCCTCCTGTGTTGTTGTTGTTATTCTTTGTCACAGAAAAAAAAGCTTTTTTCTTCGATTACTGGACCAATCGCTTTAAAAGTTTCCGTGCTTTAAGATTAAATCGTGTTAACACTATAATAAGACCAAGAAGCGCATTAATGACCTACAACCAGTAGTGGGATTCAGCGGTTCGCACCGGTTCTATAGAATCGTCTTACAGAATTAAAATGTTATGAGATCAGCGAACCGGTTAGCATTACATGACTTTTTGTAACAGAACCGCCTCAAAATTCGAAATTTGTATGATGGAACCGGCTGACAAAAAATTTGAATCCCTCCACTGCCTACAACCTGATGCAAAATTACGCTGATGATTTTTCAGCACTACTACTTAAAATACCTCACGAACGAAGTTCACTTTATGTGAGTGGTCAACGCGAAAAATTCTCCAAAATAAGATAGAATAAAATTAATAACAAAAGTGCTTCCATGATAACCCACCTATAACGCAAACAGTGTATACAAAAAACGATCTTGCAGACGAGGTAGGCTTAGAAAATCACGTGTATTCCTATTATTGTTAGCAAAGGTTTCTACGTACTGATGTATGAATTTGTAATTCGTGATAACCTTTTTGACTTTGTGCGATAAAACGGCAATTTCGTTACCTATTATCTCATTTTTCCGCCCTGCAATTTTCGTCTTGAATTACATTCATTACAATTTAGTATGCGAGATAAAGTCAGGAAGCGATATTATTTTGACTGAAGTACTTTTGGCGGTTTATGGTAGTGGCAGGATTTATAGAGGACTTTGAGGTTGAAAATTTGTTAAACCCAACGTTTGTTACGGAATAATCATCAACGTGTGGTGATAAAAAATCATTTTCGGGGAGTTTGTCGCCAAAATTGAGTGCCAAAAATAACAGTATCGGAAATGCCATCACAATCATTTTAAGTTTAATTCGAGTATTCCCTTTTCAAGAACTTTCTCTTTGTTTTCGAATTGTTTTAGGTCTCGTAATAACTGTTGTCGACTGACATTTTAATCGCTTATTTGTGGTGCACGTTCTAGCTTTATTCAAAGGTTCGGATAAGAAATTGCTTTGCGTAAATTTGCCTATAAAATTATTTCGGTTCGTAATCCTTTTTCGAGGCGTCAAATGACGACTAATAAGAACCCTTATTTATCGACTGAACGATAATCGCATCCCTATCACAGATCGGAGCCATCCCACAATTTAAATAGTAGCAGAGAAATGAGGTAGTACCCGGTTAGTGTTACTGAAACTGTAGACCGCAATTTGATGTTTAATTGGATTATTTGTACAAAGCCCTCGCCACTTATGCAAAAAAATAAAATTTGAAACAAACACCGCCACGTTTTTTAAAAATTAGTACTTCTCTAGTTAGGATTAGAGTTGAGAATGATTTGAAAGTTTGAATTTCCAACGCATTATGCATTCCTATCTCTAACCCAAACCCTTAACTGGATAATTACTAACTTTCTTATTTTGAGCGTTGGCGGGGTGTTTATGGCAGGGGCTTTGTACGAAAGATCATTTTAATTTTTCTTTATTTTACCTGTCAGGTATGAAATTTAAGCTTCAACTATTTTTTTATGGCATACTCTTTTACTGAAACATTTCTTACTACCATTGGCTAATAACGTTCATTTATTTGCAGTAAGTGGCTTTCTGACTTCATGAAAATGGTTGCGTTATATCATAATAATAATAAATTACTTACTTAAATTAGTATGAAGTATTATTAATGTAACGCCTACTAAGCTTGCATGCTTGACATCTTCAGATTAGAACAAATGAAATGCGGTATGGGGGCGGTTTTTGCACATGTACGTGGTCAGTATAGCGTAGCGTTCGCGGACGGATTCATTTGCTTTTTTAGATCGAAAGTTGTCCTTTTTGGTGGCTTCTAAACCAGGATTTTACTTTCAAACTATATATACATACATGTTGAATATAAATTTTGACTTCCAAACTAAAAGTACGCATAGTTGAATCAATAACTTCTGGTTATTGTTGTTTTATCCAGATTTTTTATGGAATGATATATAATATGAGGCTGTTAGAAATACACTCAAACTATCTTGCTGTGATTGTGTTTGCTCAGATTCTATACGTCATGATCGAAGTTGGAGCTCAACATCAAAAAGTTTGGTCCGGTAACTACTAATTACATATTTGAATAAGTTTGATTGTGGGTATAGGCCAGTTTGTATACTTTAAAGAGAAAAGAAGTTCAATGTTTTATAATTTCGGTTTCTATTCGACGTTGATACTTTAATAGAAACTGCCTATTGACATGCTGTATTGCTGTGGAAGGGACTGTATTATGCAACTGTCGAACTGTGTATTACTATAAAAAATTTACTTGCAGATGAAGAAGAAACCGTTGAATTCTGGAATAAAAAAGCCCAAGATGATCTGGCCTTGGCTCTACAGAGAAATGAATTCTATGACGGGGTGGCACAGAACGTCATATTGTTTCTTGGTAACAAATATAACTAACTCGATTTCGGAAAAATAGTGCAAAGCTTCGCGATCTTCAAGTTTTTTTTTATAAACATTTTGTCGCTAAAATTGTGTATATAAATCATAATAAAAATTTATATATGTACTGTATTCCGATTCGAAATTTCAATGTCGCTTTTCAATTTAGGCGACGGAATGGGAATACCAACTATTACAGCTGGTCGAATTTTGAAAGGCCAGCTGAATGGCCAACTTGGGGAAGAATATGAACTTTCCATAGACAAATTTCCAAACGTAGGTTTATCCAAGGTATGTGTTAGCTTTACTAGTCATTTGTATCCGAAGTCTTGCCAGTTACTACGATTTAACTCGGAACCGTTATGCAGGCACAAGGGTATTGTTGCGTAAACAAGTGTTTGTATTCAAAACAGTAGTGGTTTGTCCATATTTGTTTTGCCGAAATAAAATACGATACTCGACAAGGCATTATTGGACACGTAGTGAACATAACGATCGTTTCAAAATTTTGTTGTTATTGTTATTTGTCTCCATCATTTTTAAAAAAATCGCTTTTCTCTTCGAATACTGGACCAATTGCTTTGAAATTTTCAGTGGTTGAAGATAAAATTTTTCCCCAGAAGGCTATTACTTTTATTCATTTTAAATATTTCTGTTAGCTCTGTGAGATTTGTTTTTGTTTGCTATGACGTCATTAAACGAACTGCGGACATCGGACGCCATTTTGTGTCCTACTGTACTGCTTCGCTTGGTGTGAATATATTTGTAGACTGTGATCTGACGGTACGGTAAACCGTACTGTACTGCGAACAGACGTGTTGGGCGTAGCTCTCTTGTTAGTCATCATAAACACGTTGGATACTAGATACATTTTTTCCGCGTGGCATGTTTTTCTACGTAAATTCCGTAACATATCCTTTTTTTAAATGCAATTCATTCAATATTGCATTATTGTGTTCGGCTTACTTGGACTACATGTATTATAGTGAAAATTGGTTTGCAGCCTGGCGCACATAATCCTGGTATTAAAAGCGCCATTACTTATAATAATAATATATGCACACATGGTAAAGACACTTCATTCGACTATAAACAAAAGGCCCAACTGCGCTCTTAGTCGTATCGAAACCACAAATTGACGTCCTCAAATGCCAGCTAAACTATATACGCTATGCCATCTTGTACAAAAACATACAACTGTATGTTTCAGTAACTATTCTACAGATTTACATTCATTTTTGTGTTCATTTCTTATTAGATCAGAGTCTGCAACTTCACTTTTGAGTGAGTTTGCTTGCTTGATGTTTGTTTTACTTCTAATTTGTATTTTTAGACTTACTCAATAGATAGACAAACTACGGACTCCGCCGCGACTGCGACGGCTTTTTTGTGTGGTATCAAATCTACCTGGGGAACTCTTGGTTTAGCCGGGAAAGCAAGAATGGGTGTTTGTGAGTCTGCAACAGGACAAGAAGTAAATTCAATCCTAATAGATGCGTACAATCAAGGTTTGTTGCTTTGTTGAATTTTAATTCTCGGCGCTCCAGAAGTTTGTGTACCAATATGGAGGTAACTAACTTTGTTCGCCTACTTTACATCAAGTTGTGCTGGGGACTGAAACCTATGGGCAAGGGGTATATTCACTTAGCTAACACAGACAATCCCCGAACTCGTAATAAAACTAAAATAAGGAAAATCGGAACGCCAGCCAGCTCACTATATATATCCAATGTTTATTTCACTCACCTGAGATAAGTAGGCATGGCATCCTTTGCTAAATTTGTTCAAGTCAAGTTCCCAACTGCGTTGAATTTCCAACCGCATAAGTAGAGGATTTACGGACTAAAGAGACCTCGTAACCAGTTGAAACGCTACCATTAGAAATACTGTATACAAGCTTTGTTATATATCTTGGAATGGCAAAAACCTTATCGTTGTAACTGTGCAACTTGAGTGCAAGTGTTGGCACGTTTTGATGACTACTCCTGTATCATAAACTAATTAGTACACGTATTTCATTCAACATTTGATTGCTGCATTTCCAGGAAAGTCTACCGGCATTGTTACAACCACGCACCTCGTACACGCTACTCCAGCGGGTGCGTATGCTCATACGCCAGAACGAAACTGGTACAGTGACGCACAGTTGACGCAAAATGCGATCGACGGAGGTTGTACAGATATAGCCAAACAGTTCTATGAAAACTCTCATCAGATTACGGTATGTGAAGTAACAGGTGCAATGTTTTAGAATACTAATATTCGACCTGTTCATTTTTATATCGAGATTGCCTTCCGGAACTTAAAACCTAAATAGGTTTAATATACTTCCATATGCAGGTTGCTCTTGGTGGTGGTAGGAAATATTTTCGGCCGAATAATATGCCTGATGTCGGGTATCCACAACATAACGGAACACGGCTTGATGGGAGAAATTTTGTGGAGGAATGGCTAGGAGACGCTGGTTCAGAAAGTAGAAGTTTTGTTTGGAATAAGCAACAGCTTGAAAAAGTGCAACCAGATTCAACGGACAGATTGTGGGGTAGGTAACGTTCCCCCAATATATCCTATAGGTATCAATAAATCATTTATTTTGGTTCTCTGACATAAACAATACAAAAAGTAAACAGACAAACAAAATGCAGAAATACCTGGGAGCTGGGAGACGGGCATAACTTAAAAAATGTTAAAAAGTGTACAATGTACGTGCCCGCCCACCAAAAAGAACAAAACAAACATAGAAAGATTGTAGGGCACTCCTGAAGTATGCGCACCAAGATGTCGTATAACCTGAACCTTAACCTGGTACACAACCAGATTTCAGGTTGTGCGCCATCTTGTTGTGCATACTTCAGGAGGTCCGATTGTAGAGTTGAAATGTGTCGAGCTTTAAAGATTCGCTCATCCCGGAAAACCTCGCTGAAACTGCTACACTTGAAGGCTTGATTTATGACAAATTTCCTTTGCTGTACGAACAACTTGGTATGGATGGTTGTCGATTCAGATTAAATTGTCAGTCAGATTAAATTAAGCGAATGTGTCAGATACAAACATACGTTTGAGCCTACTTCATAAATTCAAGTAGGAGCGAGCTTGTAGTTTTCGATCTATCCCATCTTGCACTTAAAACTGACTTTATTTTGAACCTTGAACCAATAAATTAGCCTATGGTGATAATAACGTTGTCATTTGTTAGCCCAATGCCTAATTCCATGGAGATTAGAAAAGTCTCGATAAGTGAATAGACAATTTTTTTATAAATTCCCAAAATTTAAAACTGTTTGCAGGCATGTTCCAGCCGAGTCATATGAATTTCGAAATCGATCGCAATTCAACAAACGAGCCGAGTATTTCTGAGATGGTGGAGAAGGCTATCCAAATACTAGGCAAAAATCCAAATGGATATTTCTTGCTTGTAGAAGGGGGGCGAATCGGTATGTGTGTTGGAATTTTTCATTCCACCTCATCCCATATTTAAAAAAAATATACTTTTTCATTTTTTTGTGTAGATCACGGTCACCACGACAGCAGCGCCATTGAGGTTCTACACGATATGGTTGCATTTGACGACGCAGTCGACAAAGCAACAGAAATGACTACAGAATTGGATACTTTGATTGTCGTGACGGCAGATCATAGTCATACAATGAGTTTAGGAGGTTATGCTTTACGAGGAACCTCTGTTTTTGGTATGTATACATTTCGTGTGTCTAAAGTACAGAGATCAAGTTAATGTGTAATATTGAGTGTCCCGTTTCTTATATTTGCTGCTTAATTTCAGCTACAAGGTGTCGCTGACTAGATGACTCTATGAGTCTTTTCGCGACTCCGCGTCAACTGCAACAAGCCGATATCCATTTGACATTTTGTTACATTATGTTATTTATTCATTTTTCATATCGCGTATTGTTTTTTGCATGACGAAAATAAATATCTGAATCTGAATCTGAGATCAATTAAACAAACCAGATAGAATTGCGGATAAAGATGGGAATCTCATCAGTCGACTTTACTGAAATCAAAACTCAAGTCAAAACTATTGACTTCGTCAAATTTTCTTGTTTTCGCTCTTGCTGATAATGTAAAAAAAAATTTCAATTGTATACAATCTACAAAACTAGTACCGTTTACTAGTATTCTTTGCTCTCAGTTCGCCGACGTGGGTATAATAATTATATTGGCTGTCAATTTGCGGAATACAGAAATAATAGTTGATTAAAATAAAAATGTGGATTGTCATCGCAGATCATGTATCTCAACGAGTTATTTTCTTACATTTCAGAGTTTTACCAATTTGAATAAATCAGCGATTCGCTACGTTTCTTGGTCGATCTACAAAGAATGATTCGAAACCTTACTAATATCCTCGTTTTGGGGTTGAAAAATCCAAGCCATTGCAATATCGAAAATATCTTATTTATGTCAGGTTTAGCAGACCAGATTGAAGTGGAAATGATAGACACAAAGCCAGCTACTTCGATTTTGTATGGCGATGGCCCAGGTTACTTAGGAGAAGGAACCCTGAATGTTGTTCAAATAAATCCAAACGAAAAATTTGAGCGGGAGAATATTACACTTGTCGACACAGGTAAGATCAGTTCAAATTTAGATGAAGTTTAGTAATAACGGTGGCAGAGAATTCCCATCTAACAGATTAAAGATTTATCAAACGTACTTCGACTTTCTCTGAGGTTGTATAAAAGCTGCTAATCACCTGCTTTACTGGTAAACATTACCGATCTATTCGCTGAAAAAATAGATATTTATAAACCAGAAAAATCCATCACAAGCCACGCAAAAATTCATGCCTTATAAAGTAGGAAATCAGTCAATTTAGCAGTTAATGCAACGTTTATTATTTCAGCCGGAAGGACATACCGGCAGCAATCCGCGGTTCCCAGAACTTCAGAGTCGCATGCAGGAGACGATGTTCCTATTTATGCCAGAGGACCAATGGCTCATCTTTTTCACGGAGTTCACGAACAGAATTATATTGCACACGTGATGAGGTAATTTGTATTGGTATTAAAATGAAATTGGAATTATGAATAAAATATCGATGATGAAATATTGTATATCTTATCTGATCAATAGACAGAATATAATATGATAAAATTATAATTTTATAATTCTGTTCAATCACATTGAAAACTTTTATACGAGTTGCTTTGCAGTTATTTTCTCTTAAGAATACTTTAAATCAGGGGTCCTAGCATTGTGTTGTTTTTAGAGACTTGAATCGTTGGATGATTAGCTCAAACCAATATAGCTAACTATTCGAAGCCTAAATTTCTGGTTCATGTTGAGCTAAACATACAGCGGCAACATCGATAACATTTAGGCAAATCGAAGGGTTCATTCGATACCTTCAGAAATAAAAAACATCAATATCTTTAAATATATTCCTCACAAACGATGAACTATAGTACAATCTCTTACTTGAACGGAGACTCGGAGAGAGAGTTATGTATATTTAGGATCTTTTCAGATTCCCTCCATTTATAATATTACAAATTGCAAAAATTTATACGCAATGGACAGAACCATTCTCCGAGACCCTACTCCCACTGCCAAAATGAGAATATGGACAACTATTGAGTGACGTAATATACAGATTCATAATTCAGTTAATTTGTCACCTTGCGATTGAAAAATTTACTTTAAAGGGATACTGTAGATAAGAAGCCTCAAGAAATCAGACCATTCAGATATATTATGAAACAGTATACTTTTTCTTCAGATATGCTTCCTGCCTGGATGCTGACAAAGCTCATTGTGCTCCGAAAACCGACGGAACCGGACCTTACGTTCATTTTCTTTCGTTGAATCTAACAAAATTGCAAGCTCGCTTCGCTCTATACTTTATGTTTGCGTTGTTGATTTGCTCCGCTTTAGTTTTGATTTTCCTAACTTATTTGTTTTTGGCAAGGAAATTCAGAAATCGAAAATAGATTACATATTCTGTATTTACTCTTTCGAAAACCCTTGGTCATACGATGAATCAAGTATTCCTTGCATCGGGGACTAAAAATGAAGTTCAATTCCATGATGATCTTTAGAAATATGAATAAGAATATATTATGAGTAATGCAAAGGATCATTTTCAATTTTTTGCAATCATGACCTGGATTGGAAACCACAAAATGAATCACGGAATTTTCTGTTTGAAGTTTTGATTCGAACGTTGAAATAATCGAATCATTTTTGATTATATTTAACCAGCCCTAACAATTTAGTCGAATGTGCTCTTATCATCTGTTCTCTGCGTTAAAAATAACTAGGTACATTCAAATCATATTAACCCAGCACGTTTGACTAAATGCTCTCAATGTAATTTGTGTGAGTGAGGAACAAGAAAATATAACAGGAAATCGTTCATTTTTTCATTTACCGAATAAGGAAAAATGAAAAAATTGGTGAATTGAGACGCGATAAACCAGTAACGGTTATCGAGCAACTTCACCTACGATGGAGTCAAACAATAAATCATACTGATGAAAAAGCCTGAAGTTATAGGTGGAGACAACATTTATCGCATTTTGCTACTATTGGGATCGTGCTTAAACAAAAACGGCTTTTCAAATTTCACGGCGTCTGGAGCCGAATTATAGAAGTGTTGAAGGTTTCTCCCGAAGTGAGGAGTCTCGCAAAAATATACAATCTTGAATCAGAGATTTGTGTATTGTATTGTGCCATGATGACGAGTTTTCTATATCCAATATTTTTATTTAAAATATAATTTTTGTACATTTAACTGAAACAGCATCAGTGCTGTACTCTCTTCTAGTCTACCGTGACCGGTCGAGGGACCGATATGTGCCTCTTGTGGACTGGATTGGGTACCACCGACGTCAGTATAATTTAGAGTTGAATATATAAAAGGTGAGGTTTGCTATGAACTGAATTTGACAGGCGCGACACGACCCAGAATAAAACTGTCCAGGTTAACTGCTTAACGTGAGCTAAATATTAATTGAACTAACGGAATATCATACCCGAACTAATGAAAACAAGAGGACATAACGACAATGTAACACCCACGAACACCACACCTGATTTGAAGAGAAGAGCAGGAAGTTTGACCATACCCTGCGTCGATATCGGCAAACCGTAACGTTATACTTTCGAAGTATCTCAAAAAGCTATTCAATATACTTTTACTAAATTGATAAATTTATAGGATAGGACTTGACGTAAAACATATATATGAATCTTTTTCATGATAATTAATTTTTTTTGGCAAATTCGATTCTATAATTTATTGATTGGATAAAATAAATGGTTGCATCATTATTCTTTGCAGTTCAATGCGCTTAAAGAAGGAAAATTGTGAGCGTGTCATTTTGAATATAAATGTGAAAAAGATTCGAACTTGTATTTAGTATGAAAAATGTGAGATATCGATTTATTTTAAATGAAGGCGCGAACTCTCATATCCTGTGCATGATAAGGATCATCATAATTATTACTTTAGGGCTAGGCGCTAGAGCAGTGTTTTCCAATTTTTTTTTTATCCACGTACCATTTCGAGGTTTTATGCAGCGCTCGCGTACCACCTACATAAAATTTTTGAGACTTTTTGTGCCGCTCTTCTCTAACATAAATTATTATCCAAATCTCAACTAAGAGAAAACTGTAAGGTAAACTTTTTTAATTTATTAAATGTTGTAAAGAAGCTTCCATCAATGATTAAGACAATTTATGTTTTAGTATGAAAATCGTTGTAGCACGGAATTTTGAATTTAAGTCAGTTAAGCGACAAATCTTACGTCACAATGGTCAATGTTTGTTGGTGTGTTGGCGGTATTACAGCTGATTACGGTTAGGTAATCTCAGTTACTGCGCGATATTTGTAAAGTCAGAATGGGAAAAAAGAATACGCATTTACCAGTCATGAGAATAAACCTGTGCGCTTGATCTGTCATAAGCTACTAAGTCAGAATAAAGTCAGAAATGTCAAATGGCACCATGAAACGAATCATGAAAACTTCTTACGAAACTACCCTCGTATTCTATAAAGGGTAAGGTAAATCTCGTAAAGCTATAAGGAAACACAAATAGAATGAGCTCAAATTGTTATTAAAAAGACAGCGGAAATTTATGTTATCATTTGGCAAGGAATCTGATACAACAACTGAAGCTAGTTTTGTTATAGCATAGAATATTGCTTGCGCTAAACACCCATACTCTAACTCCGATTTCGTAAAAAAAGTTTAACAAATGAACATGTGACAGAATTGGTTCATATTGACTACATATCGCTCAGACTTTCAAAAACTTATAGGAATGATGAAAACACACAAGTCTCCTGATATGACCTCGTAATAAATGCTTTATATCGTTTTGCATTTCTGGACATCTAGTGGAAAACCTGTAAAATTCTTTGTCACTTTGATTACTGGGTCAATTACTTTAAAATTTCAGTGGTTGAAGATGGAATTTTTCTCTAGAAGACTATTACTTTTATTTATTTCAAATATTTCTGTTAGCTTTGTGGGATTCGTTTTTTGTTCGCTATGACGCTACCGAACGTTCTGCGGACGCACATCAGCTGATTCTGCGCTCGGCGGATCTGGTGCTTAGCGACGTGGACTGTGGGACCCGATCTCGGAATATAGAAGTGACCCCGATACTGGGAAGTTACCGCATATGATTTTCGGAAATTGGCGAAATACTCTGAAGGTCCATATATTTGAGCATATCTCTCATGTTTATTTATTTATTGTTATTTTACTCTTGTGTAAATTGCTTTTCTGTTCATGGTATTATAATAATAATAAATTCACAAATTTTGCTTCTCTTCTGCAAGTTCTGACTCGCAGCATGCGGCTCTTATACTAAAAAATTGTGCCCACCCCTGATCTATGGCATGCAAAACGTGTTAAACAAATTCTCTTGATCTAGGCCGCATCAGTTGCTAGGGGATATTCGTTTGGCGCCAATTGTTTATGAAATGCCTAACAATCAATATTTGTGACGGGATGAGACTGCGTTTACAATTGAAATAGAATCGAATTCAATTTTTTTTTTGTCGGCTACTGAATCACATTGTGTTATATCGGTAAAAAGTTTTGACTTGCAGCATGCGGCTCTTATACTAAAAAATTGTGGTCACCCCTGATCTATGGCACGCGAAGTGTGATAAACAAATTCTCATGAACTAGGCCACATCAGTTGCTAGGGGATATCCGTTTGGCGCCAACAGTTTATGAAATGCCAAACAATCAATATTTGACTGCGTTTACAGTTGAAATAGTATCGAATTAAATTTTGTTCTGTCGGCTACTGCAACACATTGTATTATATCAATAGGTCAGTAAACACGAATTGATCCTATTTAGTGGGATGACTCCCATAAACATAATCGGAATAGCACAACACGACGCATCAGTTTGCTTAGAAGTCGACAAAAAAGCAGAGTGTTAAATTGATAGTACAGTAGAATTGTGATTTTGCTGCTACTGACATACTGATACAGCTGACATAGTATAACCGTCAATATTGATCTCAACTCTTTGACAAAGTCAAGGTGAAGATCGCATGCAAAGACACTGATTATTTTGAGGGTTATGGCAAGTATGGAAATAAGCGAAATGAAAAGTAGTCTAAGCTGAATAACCTCTGCGCTGGCCCGAACACGTATAAAATATATATCGTCACGCTAATAACTGAATTGCGTAAGTCATTTTTGGCGACTTTGATTTTTTTTTTTATAAAATAGGTATTTATGTAATGCTGCGCACCTGTCTGTTAACTCAGATTTTATTTTAAGAATTCCGGGACCCATCAAAATGGAGATTTAGTATGACATGCACATTTGTGCAATTGTTTCGTCATAATGAATTATCATTGGTACCGCAGGACTATTATGACATCACAAAGGAAAAACAAGAGAGCTATGCTCAAATATATGGCCACCCAATGGCAATAATTTTGATGACGTCATAGCCTCCTGGAGAAAAATTTTATCTTCAACCACTGAAAATTTCAAAGCAATTGGTCCAGTATTCGAAGAGAAAAGCGATTTTTTAAAAATGGTAACGGAGACAAATAACAATAACAACAAAATTTTGAAACGATCGTTATGTCCATTTCGTGTCCAATAACCTCGGCGAAGTATTTTCGAGTTTTTGCATCTCGGATTCTAGCTTAGCGCGTATTAATTTGAATTTATACTACAGTATAGGAAGGCGTGCACTTGTGATATTCATTGTCGGAGTACAATTCACCTTGGCTGGCTTTTATATTGGGTGCATTGCTGTTTTATTCTTTATGTTTAATCTTATTCCTATTTCGGTGGATGTGCATAACGTGTTATATTAGTGAAATATTTATTTTTAAACATAAAAAATGTTGTTATTGAAACTGATTAGCTATTTTAGGGATTAGACATTGTAGATACTGAAAATTACATTCGTTTTTGGAATGTTTGGTTTTCAGGACTGGTGCATACACCAAAGTTGCAAAATTGCGCATGTCCCTAAGTCATATACACATTTCTGCCTAAGTCACAGTGCGCCATTATGACGTCACCTAACTGTGTCATACAAATTACCTTAAATTATTGACTCTCAATGGCATAACAATATCATTAGGAAGTTTTTTACGTTTTTATCAAAACTGCCAAAAATTACTTACGCAATTCGGTTATTAGCGTGACGATATTATATTTTATGTCCGCCCCAGTGTTTATCCATCCATGTTGGAGAAGGATTAGGTGAGGCCAAATGTCTGGACCAGGGGTCAGCAACCTTTTGAACTCAACGTGCCATTTTATGAATACTGAGCACCTTCGCGTGCCAAACGTTTTTTATGTATTTGGTTTGTCTAGTCCAGGGGTTCTCAAACTTTTGATGTTGCGGAGCCCTTGAAAAGGTTGACCATTATTCACGGAGCCCCAAAATAAATGTTAAAATTGTTACTTTCCAATTAATATTCCTGAGTAAGTTAAAAGTACTTTACTTAATTTGAATGCAACACCTTTTTAATAGGGTTAATACAAGTCATAAATGAATCTAAATTTCAAAAATAAATTATATATACTAAAGCTATAAATTTGACACTTGACAAACATATTAATAAATTAGGGGTCGAATCTTTTCCCTTTTGACATTTTTGGAAGACTTAAAAGGCGCTAAAAACGCGCGCGATTGCATTTTGTTACAATCGCCGATTGTTTTCGTCAGTATGGCGTGTTTTAAACCTTAAACATCTTTACGCCGATGTTTATTCTTCCTAAATCAAAAATTTCCATTGACATATACGTGTATTGTTCCACAATGACAACGATAATTGCTTTTTTGTTCTCGTGGGGAATTATGAGTTCAATGTAAAAAACATGTTATCATATTATAGTCATCGGCGACGAAATACTAAAAATAATAATTAATAAAGAGGTAAATCCGCAACTCGAATTTCTTGATTGGAAAGCGGCATTCTAAAATATTTAAACTGAAACTTAAATGGGAGATAACACTATAAGTGTTGTTTCAGCAGACTTTTATAGACATTGTGAATCACAAAATTTAGTTTTATGTTTACTTTGGTTATTCATCATAGTAACTGCGAAATCGAAACACAGTCAATTATGCATGCGTTGTACCTTTTAGCCGCATGCAATAAAATAAATTACAATCGTTCATATTTTGCCCAGACCTTGGGTATTTTATGTTATTGGACACGTTTAGTGGCCATAACGATCGTTTCAATATTATGTTGTTGTTGTTCTTGTTCTTTGACACGTTTTTAAAAAATCGCTTTTCTCTTCGAATACTGGACCAATTGCTTTGAAATTTTCAGTGGTTAAAGATTAATTTCTTCGCTAGAAAGCTATTACTTTTATTTATTTCAAAATTTTGCGTGAATTCTATGAAATTTGATATTTCGTCTAAAATTTTGCTGTATTGTTTTTTATCCATGGGAACACGGATTTTAGTCAGTGTCATGACTGGCTGTACGTTTTGATTCGGCAAAATTCTTGCTACTGGAAATTCAGAACTTTTTTGAGGGTACCGGTAGCGTCAAAGGTACCGGTAAAGACTGATTCGCTCTGGTCTAACGTGTCCATATATTTGTGCGTAGCTCTCTTGTTTTAGAATAGTATTCTTTCATTTTAGTAATCCTAATAGTAATCTCGAATCAAACGTGAGTGACGATGAGCACAATTAGAGTTATTACGACAAAACACTTTAAATGCAATTTAAATGAAGAATGTTGCGTAGAAATTTCCAATTCCAATTTTGAACACCTCCCTCTTAAGAATCCTGGCTGTGCTCCTACTTATAAATAATGTCATTTTTTAATTCCGCCTTTTTGCCATATTTCGAGGCTATATTGTTGTCCAATTTTATCAAAGCTGTTATTGCTTCTTTGAACAGTTACAAAATTAGCCAAGTCAGTATTTTGAAAAGTAACCGAATAGCTCGCGGAGCCCCTGGGTTTCTCTCGCGGAGCCCTGGGGCTCCGTACGGAGCACTTTGAGAACCTATGGTCTAGTCAACTACCTGATTTGAATAGTGGGAGGATACTAAACAAATTTATTGTATAGGATAACGTGCATGGAAAATATCTCACGAGGGATTTCGGCATACGACATCTTTACCTTTGGCCTGTCTTTTCACAACATAAGTAATAGGTATAATTTAAAAAGGCCACTCACGATTAGTTTTGTAGCCAGAAACAATGTGAACGCGACAATACTAAATCAGATTAAATTGATTCCATCATTTTTGTTAGGGCTAGGCTACATGTAGCTCACGCTGAAATGATGAAATTTTGGCTTTCGTGCCCAGTCAGCCTGGCACGCAGCCTGGATTTTCAAAAAGGAAAAGGGGATTCAATTTCTTCAGAAACAGTCGCCGCGATTACGCGCTTATAAAAAGCGCCGACTTTTTCATATACTAACTTTTCTGTCACGTAAAATATCAATTCATGACAGCTACGTGAATCTATAAAATTTCCTTCTATATTGATATAATTGTGTCCAACGTAACTCGCGGTTGCGCCTTCTTGCGTCAAAATATACACATTACCAGTCTAAAATACCACTCAATCTGTTGACGTAAAAATGTGAGATAACATGTCTAATTGTATTTTGTTTCAAGCCTTTTTTTGTGATCTTGCAAATTCGTTATCGCCGTTAGAAAAATCTTAAGATCTGCAATGAAATTCCTGTATAATACTATTAAATGCATATAAAGTAAATCAAAAATACATATTTATCGCTACGAATTCCCCACGGAACGACTTTTTCGCCGGATAGTAATGATTTTTCTGATGTGCAAAGTAATCAATCCATGACCGGTCATATTTGAAATGTCTTGCTTTGTTGTAATTTACTTGTTTTCAATTTAACCTGCGGTTGCGTCGACAAAATAAATGCCCCATTGCCCTAAAATACCACGACAATCCGCGGACATAAAAATGTGTGGTAAACTTCCCGGTAATATCTAGTTTTGATCCGTATTTTTGCCAATTCGCCAAATCTGTGCTGTACTTGCAACAATGGATTTGCCCTATCGCAATGCTGCCACCAACGTTCCCTCTAATTTTTTGTAGCATGTGTGCGCAGAAATTTTGGTGTGTGCGCACTTTTTTGGAAATGACTAATATTTGTGCAAAAACCAATAAAGAAATTTTGGCGTTCTAACCGGGTAATGGGTGGGCCAACAACAAACTTTCTCAACCTGCCAACCGAGAACATTGTTACATTACATCGAAATACGTCTGTGCGCAGTAAATCTATGCGTGTGCGCAGCCTCTGAAATCTGTGTGCGCGCGCACACGCGCACACTTTAGAGAGAACACTGGCTGCCACTCAGATTATTTTATAGATGGAACCGTTAGAAAAATCCCTAAGTCTGCTATAAAATCTCACGGAGTAAAATTTATTTTAGAACAATAAAAATTGATTGAATATACTTTAATTAATTATCTTATATCACCACGACGCGTTTCTAACCTTATAATATGAATCGTACATTATTAAAACAAAAATTTCCCACGGCAATTTTAAGTAATGGATGAAAAGGCAAAATCCGCGCACAATTAATTGTGTTTCGATTCCAGTGACGTTATGGTTCTCAACGCCGCCCAAACTTTTGTGCGCTTTATTGGTATTACTATCAATTGCTTTATTTTGCAATTTACAATGCCTAGAGAAGCGTTTTTAATCTGTTGTGGGCCTCTTACAACAATTTGTTTACGATTTTATTTTTAGTATAATATATTATATATTGCCGCTTTTCAATGAAAAAATTTGCGTCGCCGATTCACTCCTTTTTTTGACTGTAGCATCTCGCCACCGATGATTGTATAACTCTCAGCGAATTCATAATTTTGGACGAGTAGAAGAGGAAAGTAATTATAATCGTTTTCGTGAACTAATTTTTGTGATTCAGGGAGAAACAACTTAAAAGTGTTTACAGCCTAAATAACACGTCACGCTGACAAAATCAATCGGCGATTTTAGCATAAAGCTGTACGAATTGCCCAGAAGTATGAATTGATATAATATTCTTTACTATTTCACAATTTTTAAAGGGCAAAAAGTAACCCAACAGTAGTCTAAAAAGTCGCAAGTATTTAAACGAGTAGTTTTAGGTAGCGAAGCATTTCCGAAAGTAACCAAATCTGGTAACGCTGCATCGCACATGCATATCTACACTGATTTCCCGTACATTTCCCGGCCTCTCGTCGATTGCAGTTAGTGCATGTTTTTTCAACGAATTTGTCGAATTGTTATTGTTTTATATCTGAATCTGCCTCAAATCGCTTGGCGTGCCATGAGAAATCCTCTCGCGTGACACAATTGGCACGCGTGCCAGGGGTTGCCGACCACTGGTCTAGACTCTAGACAGAGCTAGACCTAGAGAGACTGCGTGTCCTTTCGATATTTTTTCCCGTTCCGGTAAGTACCGAGACACTGGTTTAGCTTGATTTGTTCTATTGCCATACATCCAACACAGCAGTTGTCACTGGGTTGACTTGTAAGTCATAAAGCCATTTACGACTTTAATTTGGACACTTGTCATAAAAATAACTAACTAGAACTGTTGAGCAAGACACTTTTTACGCTGATTTCAGTAACAGTATCTTCTTTAAAATCAAGTGTGGTGAAATAATTAGATACAAGAAAATGTCATCGGGACGACTGACTGGGAAAGCAGCTCTCGTTACAGGTGGTGGCAGAGGAATCGGACGAGCAGTTTGTCAAGTTTTTGCAAAAGAAGGAGCCAGTGTTGCTGTTCTTGACATTGATGAAAACGGGATAAAAGAAACTATAAAACTACTGCAAAGCGATCAAAATAATAAACATTGTGCAGTCAAAGCTGATGTATCTTCTCTTGAACATGTAGAACAAGCTTTGAAAACCGCCCAACAAAATCTCGACAAACAAATAACTATTCTTGTTAATTGTGCTGGAATATTGAAAGGAACCACTATTGAAGAATTTGATGAAGTCATCAAAGTGAATTTGAAAGGCACGTTTCTTATGTCTCAAAAGTTTGTGGCTTCACTGAAAAACTCAAGTGTGGAAGAGGAAACTAGAGGTATCGTGGTGAATCTGTCAAGCATTGCAGGTATTCGAGCAAGCGTGGTATCATCGACTTACTCAGCCTCCAAATTTGGAGTTATAGGATTGACTAAGACCATGGCATTAGAGTTCCAAAAACACAGAGTTCGATTTAATGCCGTATTGCCAGATATGATTGACACCCTTATGCTTGATGGCGTTGACAAAACCGAGAATGCTATTGGGCAAAATCCAATGCAAAGACTCGGTAAAGCTGAGGAAGTAGCGAATGTTTGTTTATTTCTAGCATCAGATGAAAGTTCATACGTCAACGGTGCGTGTATCGAAGTTACCGGGGGAAACCGCTGCTAAAGGAAGTAGTTTCAATTCGAATAAAACATGAACTAGAAAATGAATAAAAAATATAACCAAGAAAGTCGTATAATCAAGAAAAAAAAAATAGAAATTGATTATTAAAAGATTTTGATCGCATGCCCTTTCCGATCATATTATTCATTTTAAGCTTTTCAAAAATAATGAAAACTTAAATATTCGATGTTTTTGTTTAGGTTTAGGTTTAACAATTTATTTGATCAATGTCACGTACATTACAATGCAAAACAGTAAATATATTGTAAGCAATGTGTTATATGCTATAGTTAAAGCATAACCTATGCTCCTTATTGTTAGAGTTACCTAAGTTATATCAGTACTTGAAGCATACACATCATATTTTGCTTTGTTATACAAGTCATTTATTTCCATTTCATGTAATGAAATGTAGCTTTGTTGAAAATGGATTTGGAAAGATGAATATGTAGACACAATCATATCACGTTGATTGAATTAAGGTAATTCGGGCAAAAATATTATTGTTAGTTGTAAATCGGGCCCAACTCAGATTCTTTGAATTAAGACAAAACAAGTTGATCATACCAACCCAATTTTTAACTTTTAATATGTGGTGCGTCATTCGCGTCGCAGGACAGAACATATTTGATCGGACAATCAAGATTAAGTCTTCTACCGTGCTTGATAGTACATTAACTTAGGGACCCAATTTATTATTTATGAGAACATCACTGTCTGAATTAAGAAGGGGGAGAGCTAAGACAGAAAGAAGCAGTATATATCAGGGTTGACGAACCTATTCGTTATCGCGGGCCATTTATCAGTCTCCGCTGAGTAAGCGGCTCGCACAACATATTAGCCATACTATGATAACTGTTAATTTTTATCAACAGAACATAACAATAAACAAAAGAAATGCGGTATAAATTAATAATAAAAATAACATCCTATTATTCCATCAATTTTCTGCTTTGTGAGATGTTTCAAAACTTTTTGCTTTACTAATCGCTTGACGTTAGGACGAATTGACAATATGGAAACTGTCAACCGCATACAAATTTCTGAAATCACAGAGAAGTTTCGTAGTTAATTTCTTTTTCAAATTGATGTGTAAGAATTTTGACGTTTTTCGGCTGCAGACGGTACGTAACGGCGATGTTACAACGCCATCCATGCCAAAGAGACGTTCAAAATTTACGTAAGCTGATTGGCAAGAAAGCGAGCTCAATATTCGTTTCTATATTGAGCCGGACAACCTAAAAAAAATGTTTACATAAAATGTTCGAGGGCCGGTTTTGGCATCATAAGAAGAAAAGTTACAATGTACTTACCGTACTCTGAATAACGCGCACAGTTGCACAATAGTCGGAAACGCTTTTTCGTTTCAATTGTGACGTCACAGACCCAGGAGATCGATCCAAATTCTTGACCAATAAATTACTCAAATCTGCGTTTGACAATTTGTTTGTTGACAATTTCAAAGTTTGGTTGGTACTAATTGCAGATCACAATCTGCGCCAGTGATTGATTAGCGAAAAGGGCTAAAATATTGAAACGGGACGTAGTGTAAGCTTACACTCTCTAATTTTCGAACTGGGTCGAGGTTGGCTAGAGCAGGGGCTAGGCTTATTGGCAAGTGCATTTTAAACGTGGTGATGCGCGGTGTCGTGTTGCGCTAATCCAAGCATGTTTCATTCGTACCATTTGAATATTGCCAATCGTTTTTACTGATCTTTTCTAATACTTTCCGCATAGCACAATGTGTTGCAGTAACCTACATAATAAAGGCAAAATCCAATTCCCTACTATTTCAATTGTTAATCAAGATCTGCTGTGAGCCATCTCCCCGCATCGCAAATATTCATTGTTCTACGGCAGGGGTCACCAAACTACGGCCCGCGGGCCGGATCCGGCCCGCGACGTCATTTTATCCGGCCCGCGGCGTCATTTTATCCGGTCCGCAATAACACGCAAAAATGGCTAAATTTTTTTCCAAGGAAGATTTTCACGAGCATCGTCGTCCTTGTTTATTTCGTAACATTGGCCAATCGGCAAGATGCAGAAAAGTGACGTAATAACACTTTTGTCACCCTAACAGATTTTCAGTCGTGGTTGTAAACAAAACTTCGTTTTTGCTACTTTGAATGCTACCAGTACGTAACGTTTTCTGCGATACACTTGTACACTCGTGGCGCTTGCTTTCGACGAAACTGTTTGTTTTTCGTGCTAAAATAAACGTCGAATGTGCATCTTGTGCTAACAGTACTGTAATCCCTCGCGTACTGCTCCAATTTCAAAAGCCACACTAACTTTTGTACTGCTTTAATGCGGATATTCATGTGGGTATGTTACAAAAAAATTGAAGTTCATCCGATTTAAATAAAAACTATCGGAATTTTAGTACCGCCCGACAGCCAATTTTTTCCATAATGATTGTATTACTTTTTTGATAAGAACTGTACTAAATATGGAAAAATAACACATATCAATCACTAATCTTTCGATGTGCGTCACATCTATGGTATATTGAGATAATTTCAGGATTTTATTCTGGCAACGGTCATTGACACCGCCGAAAGATCGTCGCAAATAAACGATGGAGTTGTGCATGATAGTTTGACAGTGGTTCATTGTGGGTAATAATTAACGATGTTCTGATTGTACGAACTTCATAAAAATTGGTACGTATCAAGTTAGACAAGAAATACACACGTCCATATAAATTTTATTGGTGTCCATAGACAATATCAATAATTTGCACTACGTATAACTGGAGCGTAATTTTTAAAAGCGTCGAATGTTGGGAAATTTATGCGCATGAAATTCAAATACCAGATAATAGTTGTTTATTTTATCTAAATTATGTCAAAATTTCATAGAATTCCAAGCTACAGCAGGCAGTCGTTTTTATGAGCGATATTTCAACACGGCGTAACGGTACTTAGCAGACGTGATGCGTACATTTTTTGTCGCGGATTTTGTAACATTTCTAATTCATGACAGCAACGTTTTGATAACAGCTAAACTCCTAGGATGTTCTCGATCTATATTCTGCGATATTCCCAACATTTGTGAATTTATTGTATTGCATTGACAAAAATATTCATCCGGCCCGTTTCAACACAATTTGAGTCATACCCGGCCCGCGGTCAAAAAAGTTTGGTGACCCCTGTTCTACGGCGTCGATTCTACGCCTATTCCTGCCCTCCGTTATTTCAATTTGATACGTTGGCGCCAAACAAATATTTATGTTATATATACATTCAATGTGATCGTTTTTACTTATCGATCATTATTAGATCGGTAGGTATGTTGATAGGTATTTTTCTGTTTGTCTATCTGTTAGATGCACGCGATATTTCACGGAGGCGAGGTTGAATCTGCTCCAAATTTTGCATGTGCATTTATCATATCTCGGACCAGAAGCCTATTGATTTTGGATGAATTATGTTGTATAATTAGCGAGTAATTAATTAATCAGTGATGGGACACGCGGTGTCACTATAGAGTCATGAATCGAAACCGTAGTTTTGATCGATAAGTCTTCAGTCTCCGACCGATATTCTAGTTTAATTCTTAGTGAATAAGAAAGAGTTTAAGGCTCTCGAATAAATGTAGCTTACACTTCCCACAATGAACAATAATAATTCGTCGCTAGGTAATCTTCAACTCTTCGTGCTTATTGAACTACAGAGACTGATTCAACCATATTTTATTTAATCATACAAATCATATTTTACAAGAATTAATTGTAAAAAAATCGATGTCTATGTTTTATGTCCAATTCCTAGTAGAGACCAATGAAGAACAATGGTACAAATTTAACGATTCATGGGCAAGTATAACTGGACAGATTTTCAAAATACAGTACTTCGAAATTAGAACATTATATTGGGTCGTTATCGTCGCAGGGTGTGGCCAAATATCCCGCTCTTTTCTTCAAATCGGATGAATCATAATACGGATCCGTGAAACATCGACGCAACGTTCTAGGGAGAAGCTCTTGTACTCGAGTATTGCTCAGTCGAGGATCATGAATTGACATCATTGGATTGACATAATAGTAGAAATCCAAAATTTGTGGGTTGTTCAAATAACGAGACCAAATATGAAGCGAAGACACCAGTCCTTTGAAGTTTCCTAAAGTACAAATCAATCCATTTCAGAAAAGTATGGAAACGAGCACATGGTTAACAATGAGTTTTTTGAAAAATTCTTCATTTTTTGTAGAATTCTATCACACTAAGAATTGAAATGAGTACGACTGAATCCGAAAGCGCTTTATCACAAATGAGATATCTGATGTAGTAATGTTTGTGTTTTGTGTCAGAAAACCGTGCTCGATCAATGTATTTTTAATATAAAACAGCCTACCTTGTTGCTTGCCTTTCACAATGTGAGGTTGTCCTATCTTGAGGGTAATGTCGGATGTTATTTTTCTTGTAGCTCGTCTTCTACAATTATAAAAAAAATTCAAATCATACATTTTCTGAATTTTCAAAGTGATTCTGGATCATTCAAAACATTGTCACACACATATCCAAATGTGTGCGGGGGACATAAACGCCGATACCAAATCAGTCCCACAAAATCAGATGACATATTCCCTTCCATTATTTCATTTTTCCCCTCTGTCATGTTTTTCCTTTTCCAAGGGATATCCGTTCAGGACATTGAAATGAACTATGTTGGTTTTGTAATGGCTATAAACTCTAAAAGAATATTTTTTTTTTTAGAAGTTTAGAACTAGTCATAATAGCAAATTTACTTTCTAGAACTTTTTCCTTTTCTTTTGTTGTTTAAAAAGACCTCAGCTCTTCCTTTTCTCAATTTTACGGTTAGCATCGTCCATTTATTAAGTTTAATCTCGTCATACGAATCTATATCGTCGACGGTATATTCGAATCCATTCAAGTTTACTCGAATCGTGTAATAGTAAGACCTAGTAAAACGATAAAAAATTTTCATGTTGGTGAGTAATTCGAATGAAAATCACAATTAAGACAATGTATCGTCAGATTGGTTGAAAAAGTTGATTTGTAGCCAACTTGCACATTCAAGAAAGTAAAAATTTGGTCATCTGTAGTCAGCGGTCGGAGATTAAAAAATGTAAAAATTACATTTTTGTAGCCAGAGCCAATTTTCAAATAGTGTATTATGAGGCTTTAGGTGCTGACTCTAGAATCTTTTTTAGCGTCACACATGATACTTTGAAAAGTAGTGTAAATCAGGGCTTACTGTAAAGAAAATGAGGTATAGAAAATAAAAATAACTCGTAGTGCGTGTACTAACCATTGAGGTTTTTCAAACACC